GAAATCATGCCTGCTAGATATGTATCATCTGGATAGGACCAGCATTACTGAAGTTCATGCACAAACGTATCGGCTTTCTTCCAGGTCAAGTGGACTAAGGAGTAAGAAAGAGGGAGTAAAAAAGAAAAAGTCAGGATTTGATTTCAGGGGCACACCCACATTCGTTCAGCTGTACCTTTCCGTTTTTCCTCCCTTTCCTGAGACCCACGTAACAGCTCCCCCCCTGCTTCACCCATTCTCAAAATTACACCAGATGTCACGTCAAAGTCCACAGTCCGGCAGCCATATGAAGAATGTGAGAAATTTGGAAAAATATTTAGAGTACTGAGGCTAAGGTTATAGTGCTCAAGCCTTAATGAATGACTGTGTGACTGGATAATGTAATTCTATAGCAGCTAATGGCTGAGGCTGTGACTGTGATGCTCTGGACTGAACTCAACAGAACATTGAGACACATAGGGGTAAGCTCAACCAAACATTCTTTTTGGTTATGTTCGAAATTGCAAAAGTATTGGACCTAAAATCTAGAAAAGTTCGTTTTGAGATGATTTTTCTCCTATTGGGACTGCCAAGCGAATGCATTACGTCAAGTAACAAAAACAGATTGTTCTATGTTTTTACCTTTGCTGCCCGGGAAAAAAAAAATTGCAGTAGATCAAAGAGGTCCTATAATAAAGGGCTGGCAGGAAGTATTACTGAAGTAAGTCCCTTTGGAACATTTGACTTGATACACTCCAGGTCTGACTCTTTCTTTGCTGCTTGGGTTCCCACTTTATATCAAACCCAAAATGTGCTGTGTATAAAATATGGTGGGGTTAGGGCTGGGCAATATGGCAAAAAAGTAAAATCTCGATTTTATTTTCTGCTTTGGACGATTTTGATTTTTAATCAATTTTCATTAAAGTTTGCCCATAAAAATATTGTTTTATCTTTCCGCTCAATAATCAAGTTTAAAAATTATTTTCAGTTTGTTTCCCCCAATACATATTATAAAAGTCTTGAACAGACTGTGCTGATATTGCAAGTATAATTCATGTGCTGCTGGAACTCTCACAATATCCTTCATTCGATTTCACAATTTTCAAATTTTTCACAAATTAGATTTTTTCAAAAGCCGATTAATTGCCAAAATTCGATTTATTGCCCAGCCCTAGGTGGGGTATTTCTTAATTTTATGTGAATGTTATATCTGTATTACCTCGCTCCCTTTTCTGTGTGGAGTGAGTGACAAATGCCCACAATTGTAAAGCGCTTTGTGGCTTTGGTCTGAGAAAGCCGCTATATCAGTAAAATGTATTTACTTACTTAATCACTTACTTAGAAAATCCATCCATGTTTTCTGGTTACCATAAGTATCAACAATAAAAATCAGCTTTTGGATTCTTGGTCTCACAACAGCTGAACACAGAACAGAGCCAACCTTAAATGAGCTCACGATGCTCACTGCTTCGTTGCCAACTCCAAGACATTACTTTGAACTATGTTGTAGTTCTGCACACTGGAAATATGCACCATTTATTTTCTATTTTCACATTATTTCTGACTGCATGCCTGGCTGCTATTGCCTCTGAATCAACCAGGACCTCTGTTATTCAGACGCATGTCATTACGGGTCCAGCCCTCGGGCAGTACGGCCGTAAAGTGACACTCTTCTCTTAATTGTCTACATGCCTGACACCAGCTGGCAGATGGGGCTAACTCACAATAATTGGATTTTCATGCACTGTTTTTATGATGCATCTCATTAACCGAGACAAAAATCCTGAGAATTCATCCATGACTCGGGACCCCTGATAACCCCACCATTTGTGTTTTACTTCCCTTTCTCTCCCCATCACCTCCGCCCTTCCTAGCCCCTATATTTACTACTAAAGTGGGCCAACACAAGCAGACACCCATGTACTTAGCATGACAAAGGGACAATGTGTGTGAACGTTTGAACAACAGTGTGTCTTGGAGCATGCAAACTGTAAGTAAGTAAGTAAGTAAGTTTTTATTTATATACCGCCTTTTCACTGCAGATCTGAGTCTCAAAGCGGTTTACAATTGTTAATTTTGGGCATTTGTCTCTCACTCCACACAGAGATGGGAGCGGGGCCAGTACAGGAGGCGCATGCCAGACCTATTGGACATATTTTTAATGGTAGGGGAAACCGGAGTACCCGGAGGAAACCTACGCAGACACGGGGAGAACATGCAAACTCCACTCAGAAAGGCCCTGGTCCGACCGGGATTCGAACCCAGGACCTTCTTGCTGAGAGGCGAGAGTGCTATCCACTCAGCCACCGTGCCGCCCTGTATGTCCCCCCCCCCCCAAAGTTTCTGCCTGAATGAAGCTGCAGGAAGTTAAAGCCACATTTGCAATAACACGGGACCAGATGAAAAGCAATGTCCTGAACTGAGGTCCTTTTAATAAGCAAAGCAATATAAAAACCCACTGGAAAACTTTGGAGGTTCTGCAAGTAAATGTGCATTTAATCTACTCCATTTGCAACATCCGGGCTAGTAAAAGCAAGCTCCTGTGTGTGGCAATGTTGTGTTTTATGACCACTGTTCGGAGCTTGAAAGAGTCACACAATAGAGGTATTAACTGCACAAAAGTTCTTAACAATAAATAGTAAATAGAAGAAACAGAACTGCTATTGTTATTTTGTTCAGACTGTAATGGATGACTACGATCTGGGCTATCAGGAGCAATAAAATCATCCAGACACAGCACTGCTTTTCTACTCCAAAAAGATTACGGGTGAATGGTGCTAAAACACATCTCCTCATAAAACACTTAGAGGTATATAGGAGGATTTCATCAAATTTGGAAACAACCACCCTCTTCACTTTTTGAGAAAAACTCTCTGGTCTTATTTGACAAGCACGTATGATTGACAATTGGGAGGACCAATAGTCTTGATGATCCACCTGGAAGTAGAATATCATCCTGTATACCTTCAAGATTAAGATTAAGAGATTAGGAGATCCTTTATTTGTTCCACTTAAAGCTGGGGTACCTAATTTGTTAACAATTTCCTGGCTCTAAAACCTGTAGATCAGCTTTCTCCCGAGCCGCTATCAGCTTTAGATAGATAAGTGAAAAAGAGAGGACCACCTTCACTCAGCCAATCAGATCTCAACCCAAAGCATCAATTACTGACTCATAGGGCTCTTTATTACAAGTATGAAAAAGACAATGTTTTCTACTTCAACTCATTCTGTTGGGACAATGTATTGTTCATGAAAAAGTGGCTTTGGAGCAATCAAATCTGCTCACACGGACACTGGGGAGGGCTCAATGTTTGTACTGTATCGACAACTTGTGTATTATCTGTATACTTGTATGTAAACATGTATTATGGACTGCAGTAGGATGTGTATGTATTGGTTTTATGGTCAGTGTTAACACCTCATTTTGATTAGTGATTTTGTATAATGCAAATGTGAGGTGTGGTTCTAATATGATGTTGTGCGTGTGTGTGTGTGCGTGTAAAGATGTGAGAGGGCTTATCCCTATTGTTTTCATGTAACCGCAGGGACAGCAGAGGGAAGTTATTTGTGTAGCTTTTAATCTGGTGCAAAACACATCTGTCTTTGAGCTTGATATTTCTATACACTGTTCTTTTCATATAAACTACACAAATAACTTAGGTTCCCCAGCTTTAACTTGAACAAAAGCATGGCGTCACTTTCTCTCTATCTCAGCCAGTGTCAATGTTTGATCATTTCATCATTGCGGCATAACACCTGCTCCTGTAAAGCCCGGTCAGCCGAGGGTCCCTGCTGCCGATTGTACAGGCATTCCCTTCCACAACACATGCTTCGGCAATTATTCCACGCATTCCCCCGGACAGCAGCGTATAGAGAGAGAGAGAGATACAGAGGTATGGGAAGAAAAGAGGAGGAGGGGGTTTCAAGTGGAGGGATCAGGGGCAGCTGGCCGGGGATTTGCAAAGTTGTGGAGGTGAATGCGTGGAAGTTAAATGGAACCCGCCTAATCCTTTTCCAAATTGGAGAATGGGATTTGGAAAGGGGAGAAAAAAACAGATGGAGTAGGGGTCCTGACTCCGAAAGAGGGGTACAGTGACAGGAGCCAAAAAAAAAAACTGGCATGGACAGGACGTTTTTAGAATACAAAGTGACAATCTGAAAGAAACTTCATCAGGATGACTGCAACAGAGCATGTAATACTACTAGATTTCAGAATAATTATACTAAGCAGCTGGAATGGCACATCTCAACATGTAGGGGTACAATGAACCAGGTTAAAGGGGTAAATGTTTGGATATTTAAAGGGCATAGAGGGCATGATCAAAGTTTCAAAACATTCATGCCCGAGGGCAACTTGGCAGCAAAAACACCAACACTCAAATCCCAGTGGAATGTAGTGCCCTTTGAAATGGACACTAATTATTATGTAATAACATGAGAACCTAATGTAACTCAACATTAGTCAATATGAGGGCATGAACGAGCTGAAACAGTGAGTGACTCATTATGCACTTAATATATATAGATACTTGTAAATTTAGGACATTTGTGGACGTTTATTAACATTGGCTTTAATGTGATCCCTGTGTCTTGACTGATTCTCTGATCTGTTGTTGATGAATTGGCAGCTTTGTAAAGTTCTCTGAGTCGACCGCTGTTGTGATATAGATATAATAAATAAAATACATTGAATTGAATACTTTAATATTTCTTTGTATCAGGATAAGCTACATCCCATAACTCATAGTCTAGCCGATGCGCTGAACTGATGCGGTTTCCAATATGAACGTGTGTGTGTTGTGCGATAAGAGAAAGTTGCCTTGTTTTTGAAGATAACTTTTATTGTCCTGAACTAATAAGTGCTGTATTGTCACGTTATCCAGAGCGTGCGTCTTTCTAAAGCAATGGCCTAAACTGTTTGAATCTCACGTAAATCCTTTCTGCCCGGCAACATGCGTGTTTTGTATACAGAGAGCTTCACAGCTGATATCACAGTCACAATGAAGAGTGCGTGAACGTACCCAGCAGCAGGCAGAAGATGTCGAGGGCTATGAGCATTTTCTTCTTGCGGTTGTCAACACCATTGTTGTTGTTTAACGTAGAGTTTCCTCCGTTTCTTGTTTCTTGAGCCATGGCTTTCTCGTACATGTAATTTTGCATTTGAAAGTGCCCCTGCCTTTTTTAGTCCAGACCCCGCACCACGCGTTAGATGCCTCTGAGGTCTCTGCAAAAGTTGATGTCAAAGTGTGGCACAAGTCAAAAGAATAGATGCGCCTCTATTTCCTCGCGTGTCTTTCCCCAAACTGTCCGTGTGTTGATACCAGCTGAATGATCGACTCAAACAGCGAAGATGTCTGTGAACAAGATGAATGGAAAGCCCGCTCTCCCTTCTTCGTTGTTGGTTCAAAGACTCTGGGTGAGTGCGAATTGCTGCGCGCACCGACGGACGCTCTTGTTTTATCAATCCTCCTTCGCCTCCTCCCCCTGCTCTCTTCAAGTTCCCGGCGGCTCCAGGCTCAGCCCTCTTCGCTCTGCTCTCGGCGGGTCACCTCCTCCATCCACATGAAAAAAACTTTGGAGCAGAGGCGCGACTGTGGATCGAAGCGCAAAAACACGCCCTGGCGGTGCGTCCCAGTACTGCAGCGCATGTAAGGCCACTATCAAACTTCTGTTGGCTGTAAGTGAGCAGGTCATGGCACAGAACGTACTGACCCTTTTCTTTCAACTGTATGTTTGTAAACGTCTTATCTATGACAGACTTTTGCCTGTTAGAAAAGACATTTGTTGCTGCGGCAACAACTAGCTCAACTATATTTTAAATGACTTCTAATTTGAGGGTAAAACTTGCTGAAATATATCTGAAAATATTAAATCACGTAAAACTGTTTTTCATTCGTGCTTGTTAGGTTATATGTTAAGTGAACACAATTCAATTACTTCCTTTCAAAATCACAAAGCAGCCATTATTATCTTGACATGTCTGCCCTCTAGTGGCCACACATGCTCAGCTCATGGTGAGAGTAATATAATGTGTGTAACCTTTTACCTATTAAACTGTATTTCGCCAGAACATTTTTAGTAACCCATTGTACTAAATCCTAAATCTAATAGCCTAAACAAACTGTGTGGGCTCATTCGTGTAGAAGAAAACAATTTCTTTTTTGAGTGTCTATTTTATTTTATTTATTAGAAAAGAAAAAAACATACTCAAAGATTCGAGATCTGCTGCTTGTGTTTCCAGTGCTTGATCTTTTTCCTAATCTACTCCGACTCGACAATTTTGTGATGACTGCATGTTGTGAATTATACTCAAACATACATTTATTTGATTTGATTTGTTTGTGACACGTTTGTGCTTCAGACTACCAAACACACTCATGAACTAAGTGACCAAAAAATGGGACGGAAGATTTTGGCCATAAAAGATGTTGTTATTTAGGAGATAGGCCTCTCGAGATCATCCGGGTGAAGTGGCAGATGATCTCGCAGCACAGCACTCCCCTCTTCCTCTCTTTTTCCTCTCCTCAGATCTGACCATGCGTTTTTCCGCCCGCATGAATCCTTCTTCTCAGGAGAGAGAGAGAGAGTGGAGCCCGGAGCCCACCACCCCGCCCCTCTGCTCTGCTCTCCTCTCCGTGAGCGCCCATCGGGAGGCGAAGACTCCCACCACCGCGCACCCACCGCGCACCCACCGCGCACTGAGCCGACGCGGTAACGGGAGAAGATGGCAGAGAGGCAACAGCAGAAACACGAAGGCAGGGTCAAAATCGGCCATTACATCCTCGGAGACACGCTCGGTGTTGGCACGTTTGGCAAAGTGAAGAGTTAAGTGATTTGGTGAACTGTGGGCTCGGGAGAATGTGCGTGTTTGGTGCCAGGTGAAGTTATGAAGGTATGAAGTATCGAGCCCTTTACGCTGAACACACCGGTGGTCTTTAGGTGCGTAGCGTAGCTGTCTTGGTTTACAGCAGCAGCGGAGGGCTTTCAGGCGTAACATTGCTTCGTGAATGCGACTGTTTTCAAAGTCAAATTCCTTTACGAAGCCCCCTGACGCGTGTCTGTCATGTTTATCAGGTGGGATTACCTGGGGGGGCATAGCTCGCACGTCAAAGGAGCGACAGAGTTGTTGTCGATGAGAAATGTTTGCGCAATCGCAGTTTCCTTTGACCTGTCTGCGCGTAAAGGGCATACGGAGCTAAAACAAGCGCGCTCGCATAATAACACATTTATTACGTGAGCAGCAGGAATATTTGACGTTTGGTTGAACACATGTCTTTCCCACGGGGCTCTCTGACAAACGTAAATACACACGTGGGGCAATTGTGTATTTGTGTGTGTTTTTAAAGATTTATGTTATTATCATTATTAGCACATCCAGTGTGCATGTATGTGACCATGTATCAGTTGTTTACGTTCTTTAAAAAGTGCAGACAACCTGTAGAATCTTGTTTTCATTGTTTTAGCATTATGGATTCTTTATCTGGGGAAACATGATTCAAACATAAAAGGGCCAGTCTTAAAATATACTGTCAAGATGAAAGATTGTATACAAGATTACATCCTTTTCACAAGCGCTCTGTCTACCATCTTCTCTGGTTTTGTAATGATCCCACTGCAACTGCTTATTTGAAAGTACAGTCACTCTGCCCCTGGACCAATGTTAACCCATGATGTACCTGACAGCTCTTCCTGAAAACGATCGACAGTACATAGATACAGCTATTCTACTTAAAATATGTAATTAAATGATAGTGTATGTAACCAATCATCATGTTATACAAAGGTACAAATAAATACAAGTATTAAGACACACATGACTGATTTTAGAAGTGCTTTAAAAGATTGTAAGAGGCTTCATATCTGCTTTATTGTTATTTCAGTCGGAGAACACCAGCTGACAGGTCATAAAGTGGCTGTGAAGATCTTAAACAGGCAGAAGATCCGCAGTCTCGATGTGGTGGACAAAATCAAACGAGAAATACAGAACCTCAAACTCTTTCGACATCCACATATCATCAAGCTGTAAGTGCAAGAGGCCATTATCTTCATGCTTGATGTATTGTTTTTTTATGTTATGTCAACATATACGGACTCTGCTTACTACCGTGGGCATCACCCACATGGTTCCCAGGAGCTTCAAGGAACTAGACAAACTAGATCTGCACTTGTCAAACTGTGTTAAAGGCTTAGTATAGACTTATTTTTATGCAGTATTCATTTCAGCTACACTTTTTATAAAAATAAATGTTTAATATATGAAATTGACCCAGAAGAAACATTTAGTTTTGTTCTCTACACAAAGCTCATGACCATAGGTGAAGGAGGGAATGTAGATTGACCAGTAAATATAGAGCTTTGCCTTTTGTCTCAGCTTCCTCTTCACCACAACAGTCTGATACAGCGGCCTCATCACTGCACACGCTGCACCGACTATCTGTCAATCTCACGCTCCATCCTTCCCTCAGTCGTGAGATACCCAGAGATACTTGGACTGTTACACTTCTGGAAGGCAGGAAGGGTCCTGGCTAAAGAAAGGTCAATTCAATCTACAAAAAGCAGAAATCCCTCCTGCCTCTGGCTGTGTCCATAAAAACAGTAAACAGAAGTTGTGACAAGGGGCAGACTTGTCGTAGGGCCACATGCACTGGGAACTGTTTAAGATTTAAAAAACAAATCTCATTTGACTTAAAGTTTGGTCATATGCTAGTAATATAGAGTGTACACTGTAAAGGTGTGCAATGCAATTGTTCTTTTTATATGGTCAAAATAATTAGAAGACTTTGTTGTAAATACTTCTGCTCTTCTGCTCTCTCACATTCTTCATGTTATATTTAGGTCTGGGTTACTGTCATGTAAGCTATGACTGATATGTGAGATCACTAAACTGTTTTTAGGTTGCCACATGCACAATTAATACAGTAGCCTAGCATGTCTGTTGTCTTAGTTACAATCAAGCATTTCTACTCTCTTATTATGACTCTGAAATACCTGTGAGTGACGTGTGCATTCCCCACACCAGGCTTTCAGCTTAAAGCGTGTGCTCTTTCACAGGTACCAGGTGATCAGCACTCCTACAGACTTCTTCATGGTGATGGAGTATGTCTCTGGCGGTGAACTGTTCGACTACATCTGCAAGCATGGAAGAGTAGGTTTTTCAGAGAGAGACCGCCTGTAAGATCTGTGCAGCTCATTCATTCATTCATTCATGTCAACACTTGTTCCAGGTGGAGGACACTGAGGCTCGCCGCTTGTTTCAGCAGATCATCTCCGCCGTGGACTACTGCCACAGACACATGGTGGTCCATCGAGACCTCAAGCCTGAGAATGTCCTGCTGGATGCAAATAAAAACGCCAAGATTGCAGACTTTGGTATGTTTGTTTCATGGTTCTCCACAGCAGGGTGATGGCAACTAGCACCATGATACAATACTTTCACAATCAATTTATGATGTATACAATAATCACAATATTGTACAGCCCAAAATCACAACAATAGTCATCTAAAAAATGTGCCTAAATGAACCTAGTTACCTAACCTTTTCCATGTTTATCCCAACAGAAGGAGTCTTGTAAAAGTTGTGAAAAAAATCTGTCTCCTTCTAAGGAAAAAAAAAAAAATCTTCTGCGTACTTGTAAGAAAGTCACTATTCAACGCTTTGGGCTGAGAGAGAGTGGTCTTCTCTTTTTCACTTAACTTCTGTCTGAAAAAGTTTAGCTCTGCCTACATCAAATTGTGTGAATATACATCCAGTTTGGACAAAGCGGAGGACCTGTGACATTCTTTCCACCCACTTAATGTTATTGTACATAATTCATTTGAGCTGCTTTGGTTACGTTTTTATACCCCGTAGTGAAAAAATATCTGACCTGGAATACAAAAAAAATAGATAAATGTCCCTGAGCATACCCTGACCTCCAACCATACTCACACTTTTTTTTCCACAATATTTTTTATTGAGTTTTTAAACATAATCCCTATGTCATTCACACAGACATATGGAAGAAAAGAAAAAAGAGAAAAAAAACAAGGCAAACCATACTCCAACTCTAAAAACACTCTGGAAACACTCAGAGATTTCATCAGTTATTTGTTTGTTCTAACCAATCTATTTTTAGAAAGCATACAATACACACAGAACAAGAATATGATCTGTTCAAAAGAGCATTGCACGGTGTTTTCAGCATAATTTGATTTAGATTTAATTCAGTGGCGAAACATTCTAAATTATGCTCCTAGCCCCCTAACCCCACACTAATATAAAACTACATAATCCCTCGTTCGTGGCAGATTGGTGCTAAGACCATAAATCAACCGTGGTTTTGACACCGGCGCTGGCTGCAATATGACCTCGTTAACAAAGAAATAGTTCCTCTCTGTCCTCTCTGCAGGGGGTGTGGAGAATGTTCCCCTTAGCAACACACGGCTCATATCAGGCCTGGCAGGAAGCTTTGAGGCTCGGTGTCATCTGATATCAGAGCGGAGCAGGGGCAGGTTTGTCTGTGGTAAAAGCAGCATTAAGGAGCTGAAAGGACAGATAAAGAGCAGGTCAGGATACTGCGGCTGAGGCTGAGGCTGGAGCAAAAGAGCGTCATCCAATTAGAGGAGCTCAGTGTCCGCCGACTGAAGCTGGATCAACTTCAGTGTTTCGCTCCTGGGTGACATATGCTCCACAGCAAGATTGATTCGTGCGACAGACGAGGCTATTCTGTGTGGAGTTTGCATGGTCTTCTTGTGTGTGTGTGTATGTGTATGGTTTGTTCCACTTGCTCCAGTTTTCCCTAATGATACAAAAAGGTTAATGTTTTTTGTGGTTCTTTTGAAAGTCAAGTTAGATGTGTTACCTTGTTAACATGTTTTAGTTGCAGAGCTGATACATGTTAACAAGATAATACATCTAACTTGTCTTTCAAAAGAACCACAAAAAAGATACAAATACAGAGACAAATACAAAAAGGTTTCCCCTATCACTAAAAACATGTAGAATAGGTCTCAGAGTGAGTGGGTCGGAGGGTCCGGGACGCCAGGGGTTTGCTGTTTTGCTTCATTCCTCGCTGTGTGTGGAGTGAATGAAAATCACACCAAAGTTTTTAGAATTATTTTCCACAAACTGGAAAAACCTACCGATAAATGCTGTTGTTGTGTCCTTAACCCCACTTTGCCTCGGCCCCCGCTGAAAGATCAAGGCCCTTGTGGACTCACCACCTGCAGGAGGATCAGTGAGGGGCTGGTGCTAAGTTTACTGGGTGCAGCTCTGACTGACACCCCCCCAACCCAGAAATGGACTAATTGGGGGAAAAAATGGATGGATGGAAATTTAAAAAATATGACACGTACAGGGTCAAATTAAAGGTCAGGGAGAGGGATGGAGTGGTATGAGTTCAAGTCCAATGCCTTGGTGGTCAAAACAGATCAGAAAGTGGTGATTTTTCCTAAAGGAATTGCTTCACACAAGGGGTCAATGAAGGTAGCCCCCATGTTCTAGAAGTAAATAAGATAAGATAAACATTATTGATCTCACACTGGAGAAATGTACAATATTGTGTCCCTGTAATAGAACATTGTCTACATTATATCCAATCATTTATAAAGCCAATCTTTCTGCAGCCTGTCTAAGGGTCTAAGGACAGTGATGATCCGGGACATGTCATTAAAGGACATTTATGAACATTGGACGTCCCGCTGTCTATGGACTAATGGCTTTTTTGTGTTTGTTATTTTGTGTGCTTAATTCTCTGATCTGTTGTGGGCGAATGGACAACTTTCTACAGTCCTCTGAGATAATTGCTGGTGTGATTTAGGGCTTTACAAAATAACTGTTATTGAATTTCCACAATTTATGCACGCTGAATTTGTAGGCCATTCTTGTCTTTTAAAAATAATTGTTTTTGTAACAGCTCATTTAAATGTGCCTTGATGGTCTACCAGGTCTTTCTAACATGATGTCAGATGGAGAATTCTTGAGGACAAGCTGTGGTTCACCCAACTATGCAGCTCCAGAGGTCATCTCCGGGAGGTACGTGACAAACTCTTCTCAGAAATACTACAAGACCTTTTTGTTCTTGTAATGGACTGGGTTTGCAGGGAGTACAAATGGCCTCACATTAAACCATGAGGAAAAACAAAAGGTATTCTAAACAATAGTACTTGAGTAGTAATAATAATCATGTTATTTTAGGAGCAGCTGACCCTAACCCTAACCTTAACCCTTACCCTAAAACAATTTATTATCAACATTTAAAAGGGCAGTATGTAAAAATCTGGCCAAAAGTGGTACTGCAACTGTTACACCACTCTGACAACTTGGTGTGGAAAAATTAGCTCTTTAATGTCTCCGGAGAACACAACGGAAAAGACAGCACAAACAGACAGCAGCTGATCACAATCACAAGTCCTTCAGTACAACCGCTTTTCCAAAAAAAACGTCACTCTTATATACCAGGGGCCGCGCGCGCTACCTGTGATCTCACTGATCTCACCTGTTAACTGATACATTTTAACACAATACCGTTACATTAGCTGTTTGTTTAAACAAGGACAATTATTTCTAAAATATTAACAAAAAGTTTACACACTTACTCTAAGTGCTACAATCCTCCCCTGCTAAACAAATGTTGTCCTCAACATTAGCAAAATACATGAATGATATAAAGAACGAATGTACTTATGCGACAACAACAAACAATTTAAAAAGTCAGCTCCAAAACAGAGAAGGCAATGTACTGCATGTCAAGACGAAAACAGAGACTGTAACCACTGTTTTAAATGTGGCAGTGACTCACACTGGGATAAAGGGTGTGGAGCAGGGAGAACGCAGAATCAGGGAAACTAGAGAAAGCTGTGACTGAGGGACGTGCCACAGCTCAGAGTCTCAAGTCCCAGAGTGTTAAACCCCAAAACTGTAGAGGCAAACAAAAAGTGTCACAACATGAGTCTAGTCATGCAAAAACTGACCAACCATGCAGCTTGTTTAACCCTAGTGTAAAACAGAATAGAGTAGCACAGCTGGTGGGTAAAAAGTGTCTAGTTTGGTGCAGAATAGTCAAGTGTAAAACTCAGGCCTTGTGGGACACAGGAGCCCAGGTTTCAATCATTAGTGAGTTATGGAAAACTAATAACCTACCCGATTTAAAAGTGCATCCTGTTAGTGATTTACTAGGTAATGGTGCACTTGTGGATTTGAGAGCAGTAAATGGGTCTGAGATTCCATTTCAATTTGGAGAGACGAGAAACGAAAATGGTTATGAGTATTTATTGAGGTGGTTTGGCGCCCTAGGCCCCGGTGCGGCCTTCAGATCGGAGAGGCTCCTGCGATGGAGCGCGTACAATCCCCCGGGACCTAGGCACTGGTGGCGGCAGATTGGAGGCAGATTGGAGGCAGATTGGAGGCAGGTTGGAGGCAGATTGGAGGCAGATTGGAGGCAGATTGGAGGCAGGGTGAAGAGGAGGAGGAGGGGAGGCGGTGGTTGCGAGGCTTCGAGAAGGCCGAGAGTGGGAGTTGCTCCGCTTTTAAGCGGCTGCCTGTCCGGCACGGATGATTGGAAGGGGGCGTTTGCCGTGCGATAGGCTGGGGAAGCGAACCGGCCTGGAGGGGGTAGCTTTTGGCTGACGTCTACCAAATTGAATTTTCGCGAGCTACATTTCAGGGCTGGGTTGAGGCGAGTCTTAGCCTTTGTGATCCAAAAGGAAAATCTCAAAAATGAAATTTTGGTTCTAATCTTAGTTAGTCGTGACACTATGCAAAAACAAATAATAGGATTTAATGCTATTGAAGAACTGATTAAACAGGACCATACTGAGTCAATTGACAGAGGAGCCTTATTGAGAAACTCATTAAAAGTAGGTGCAGGAAAGGCAGAAGCACTTTTGAGCCTTATCTCTTCAGCTACTAGTGAAACAGTCTGTTATCCAATCAGGACAGGGCGCACTGCAGTTATTGTGCCAAGTGGCCAAATACACTGTATTAGCTGTCCTATAAAAGCAGATGTGAGAGGACAAACTGAAATGCTTTTTGAGCCAGATGAGAACCTCTCCTTAGTTGAAGGGTCAAAGTTTAACTGTCAGGTGTTGGGTGTATCTGGCACATCAAAAAAAGCTAAGATTTATGTTACAAATATTACCAAACGTGACAGTTTTAGGCAGCATAGAGAGAGCAACACACTGCTATCCAGTTAATCTTGATCAGGTTCAGGATTGCTCAGTTGTTGTTGAAAGCTCTCACTCAAGTTTGGAAAAGTCATGTGACCCATCAGTTAACCTAAGTCACCTCACACCAGACCAACAAGTGGTCGCCATGGAGATGCTGAGGGAGGGGTCAGGTGCATTTCCAAAAAACAAGGATGACATTGGCTATGTTGAAAACTTAACTCAATATAATCAAACTCTGTTTGATTATATTGATTATAGAAGTTTAAACAAAAAGACAATTCCAGACAGGCACCCTATACCACGCATTCAGGAGATACTTGATGGACTTGGTGGTTTAGTGTGCTTGATCCAGGCAAAGCGTACCATCAAGGTGAAATTAGTGAGGACTCAAAAAAAGTCACTCTTATATACCAGGGGCCACGCGCGCTACCTGTGATCTCACACGCTCCCTGTTAACTGATACATTTTAACACTATACCGTTTGTATGTGTTTAAACAAGGACAATTATTTCTACAATATTAACAAAAAGTTTACACACTTATTCTAAGTGCTACACAACCTCTCCCACTCTCCCTGACTCAGGTTGCCAGATATGCAGACGAATCCAGCTGGGACCATAAAAACTGAATAGACAAAGGTTTTGTCAACTACAAATCTATAACCAACATCTTTTTCACAACGGCCCGATAGAAATCCTCGTTTTACTCTTTGTTTTGTCGTTAATGATTTGAGAATCATAACAAGACCTTTTTTGTACTGCTGCCACATTCACCAGTGAGATTAACTCAACGCGGTGAGTTCTGGCAACCCAGATCAAAGACTTTCTGATTGGTAAAACGTTGGGGGGCGGGACATCAAAATGAAAACAATAACAAGATTCATTTTGAAATACAAATATCTCGGCTGAACTACTGTTATCAGTTAAAGAAGTATTGGAAAAGAGCATGTTTTATAATTGCCTTTTGGCAGAATAGGGCCATTTATGATGACCTCACATGAAAATCTTACATATTGCTACTTTAAGCTAAATAGTATGCATTGAAATTCCTTTGCATTCTTTTGAGAATGATAAGGTGATGAAATTAAACTGTTAGGGTGTTAACAACTGCGATGTTAAAGAAACCCTCAATAGTTTTGTTCCAAATGACTATTAAAAGCCTTTTTTCCAGTGTCTCACCTGCAGTTAGAGCACGACTCCAGCTCAGATTAATCATGTGCCCCGGGTGCTGCTGATTAGGTGAGGATCAAACAGGATTTCAGTAAAGAAACTGACGACCTGAATGAGAGGACTGGATCCTCCAACGTATATCCACAAGCTCCTTTACTCTTGGAGCCATGTGTTTTGGTCAACTATAAGAACACCTGACTGAGGAGGTACAATCTTCTGACCTCTCAGCGGAACCACAGGGGAGGCCCACAGACGTCACATGACCAAACTAGCTTTGAGAAGTTAATGCAAATGTCTGAAAAATAGCTGCATGCTTCGGTGGTTTTCATATCCAAACGTAAACAGATGCTTTGTATCATGTTATGAGGCTGGAAACAGGAGAAATCTGTGCTTGTGCTTCTCCAAAGATATTATTTGAACACTTCTTTAAAGTTCTGTTAATGCACATACTTTTGTGGCAAGAGGAAGGGAAATGTCACTTCACAAACTCATCATGCGGATACAGTAAAGGAGTAAAGTAAACGTTCCATGGGAGAAAGCAAAGTGCATTGTGGGGTGCCCCTGATGTTTACCACGGTTACAAGGCGCCATGAATCTCACACTGCACAGTCATAAAAACATATCACAAAGATAATGTGTGAATGTATTTGAGAAAGCAGTATAAGTATATTTATATTAGTGCCATATGAGGCGGTTCGCACTCTCAGAAGCACAGATTCGCACTCTCAGAAGCGCGATTCGCACTCTCAGACTAGCCTCCTGCTGGTGTCCAGAGTCAGGACAAAACATGGGTAGGCAGCGTTTCAGATCTATGCAGCTGGGATATGGAACAGTCTTCCTGGGGCTTTGAGAAAAGCCTCTACCCTGACCATGTTCAAAACTAGGTTAAAAAAAATTCTGTTTAGCTGTCCTTACAAGTGATTCTGTTTTGCACTATCATTGCTTTTATCTCCCTTTTTAAACCCACTTTTTTACTAAGATGTTTAAACCCCATAGCTTTATGCTACTGTTATGATATTAAATGATATATTTCATTGACTTTATGCATTTTGATCTGTGTTTTTAAGTTGCTCTTGTGAAGCACTTTGATTTGCTGTGTACCCAAATTGTGCTATATAAATGATAGATTGATGGATATATGTGGTGGTGCTTGTGCAGATTGTACGCGGGGCCGGAGGTGGACATCTGGAGCTGTGGGGTGATCCTGTACGCGCTGCTGTGTGGCACCCTGCCCTTCGACGACGACCACGTTCCCACTCTGTTTAAGAAGATCAGAGGAGGGGTCTTCTACATGCCCGAGTACCTGACCCGCACTGTGGCCTCACTGCTCATGCTCATGCTGCAGGTGGACCCTCTGAAACGAGCCACCATCAAAGACATCCGGTACAGCCACACTCAGAGCTAGTCACACTCACACTCAGAGTCAAACATTAACATTATCCAAAAATATGTGGGACTGAACACTAAAATCCATAGTAATAAAGGAAGAACAGAAACCATTCAATAACATGCAAAAAGAGGAAAATGCAAAATTAGATAATCCAAAACACATAGTATGATTATTTTCATGATTGCACAAAAAGACTAGACAGAAACGTTGTGTGTAGTGGGAACAGGGTGGTAGGAAATATTTCTCATTAAAGGGGCTCAAAAGTCTGATCAATTTGGGACCACCCACTTACACCTCTTCAGTGATGGTACACACTCAGATGAGATGAATTATAATCTGGTGATTGATTTCCTACAGAGAGCATGAGTGGTTCAAACAGGACCTGCCAGGGTACCTGTTCCCTGAGGACCCCTCCTACGACACCACGGTGGTGGACGAAGAGGCCGTCAGAGAAGTCTGTGAGAAGTTTGAATGCACCGAGTCAGAGGTGGTGTCCAGTCTCTACAGTGGTGATCCTCAGGTGAGACATCCCGGGACAAACATAAAAACAGCAAAAAGATTTACAATGACTACATTTGTGACGGCATGTGTAATGGTCCACTACACATAGTTAGTGATTATCAGTTGTCTGCATGTACCTCCAGTGGATCTTTCATGTCATTGAAGTTTTGTTAGAGCAAAAAAAAAGCCAGGAAACAAGTTCACTTTGGGGCTTCATGCCAGCATTAAAACTATTTGCTGTAATTATTCTAACACTGCCCTTATGTATATTCAGGACCAGCTGGCTGTCGCTTACCATCTGATCATTGACAACCGGCGCATCATGACCCAGGCCAGTGAGTTCTACCTGGCATCTAGTCCTCCACAGGGCTCCTTCATGGAGGACGGGATGCCCCTGCCTCCTGGAGTCAAGCCCCACCCAGAGAGAATGCCCCCGCTGTTAGCTGACAGCCCCAAAGCACGGTGCCCCCTGGACGCCCTGAACACCACCCGCCCAAAACCTCTGACCGTGAAGAAGGCCAAGTGGCATCTGGGCATCCGCAGCCAGAGCAGGCCTTATGACATCATGGCAGAAGTCTATAGAGCAATGAAACAACTCAACTTTGACTGGAAGGTATCAAAAGACTTTCTTTACTAAAGCTGTATGATTATGTGGCAAGAGCTCTGGTGTGTGCTATCCTGGTGCACACCGGGGGAGTCTTGCACAGTTTTTCCAATGTGGTTTTACTGCAAATGGAAAATAAATTCTTGAATCTTGAATCATGGTGTTGTAGGTGGTGAACCCCTATCACCTGAGAGTGAGGAGGAAAAACCCCGTCACAGGAAACCTGGTGAAGATGAGCCTGCAGCTGTACCAAGTGGACAGCCGGTCCTATCTGCTCGACTTCAAAAGCATCGATGGTACGTGTTGCGTTCATGGTTATTCATGTATAACAAGTATCTATTAATATGTTAGTTACTAGCTGACACTTTTAAATGATATTATCTACCTATTAGACAAGCTAGCTCTATCAACATGGTAACTGAATTGTCAAACATGAGTAATACTTTAACTTATTACTCATTTCTGCCCTTTCTGCACAGATGACATTGCGGAGGCGGTGGGCTTTAAGTCGGGCTCGTCCACTCCCCAGCGGTCAGGCTCAGCGACTGGTCTCCTGCGGCCTCGCCTCAGTATAGACTCGGTCAGTCCGGCCGTGGACCTGTCCCAGCTCAGTTCATCTCTGCCTGGCTCCCTTTCCATGTCCCTGTCCCTGTCCTGCAGTGCCCCCCAGCTGGCCCCCCGACAGGGCTCTCACACCATGGACTTCTTTGAGATGTGTGCCAGCCTCATCACGACCCTGGCACGCTAAGATGGGAGGGTCCCGGGCGCGTGCAGTCTGTGTGTAGTTAGTATGCACTGTTTGGCATCACACACGTCTCAGTCAGGACCGAGGTCAAAGGGGCAAAGTGAAAACCAGAGCTGTTAGATCTGACGGAGCAGAAGAGAAGTCGACTCATAATGTCAGATTTACAAATCACTATATTGCATTTAGGGACTATGTGTTCGTTCTGGCAGTACTGAGTGTCCGAAGAACACATTATTTCACGTCAAAAGCTTCTTAAGGAGCTGTATTTGGTTTTTATGTAAATATATTTGAATCGTGCACTGCATTATATCAGATGAAATACCAAAAAGAGTTTATATATTCTATAGAACTACTACTATAATTTAATAACAAATCTATTTATTTTTGAGAGCTCTGTTTGAGGCAATAGCGTGTGTTGAGAATTATATTTTTGATCAATATTTTTTTTTTTGCAACATGGAAAGATGCAATGTTCGTTCTATACAAGTGAATCTTTAGTCTTTCATATCAGACACAAGATATTTCCTAAGCCCTCCCTCGTGATCAACTGTTGTTTTGTACATCAATTATAATGTTGTATTAATATGCAAAGCGCACAGAGGTCCTTTACACTTGAGCTGAGTCCTTTAAAGTCGACACGTTGAGCTGTGATGTTTAATGTGCTGCTCGCTCATGTGTCCCGGTGTAATTAAGACTACGGTGACACAGAGCGGACACATGTCATACGTGTGAGAGGCAGTCGGCAGCGTCACTTGCTCCTGTTCCCTAGAGCGGAGGATTCTGTGGGTTCCAGAAAGATGGGGACTGGGAAAGTGGTCCTGAAATGTTGCTTGAAACTCTTTAAAAAAAAAAAGTTTAGTCTGTGCTGCTGTTTTTCTAGCCGTCAAATGTAGACAATAGCAGCAGCTGTAAGAGACCGAGCCACAGACGCTTTGCTCCAGTTGCCTTAGAACCAGTTTGAGATTCATGTTTGAGAAAGACCCAGGATGAATGAGAGACACGTTTCCGTAACAGACTGGTTTTGTGTTTGCTATTCAAGATATATCTGTAGTGGCCTGACAATCTAATCCAATATTAAGAAAAAAATAAAAAAAAGTGTCCCGTTATTGTTGTGTTCCTCAGCTGAAGGTCAGACACATTAATTATCCTTACTATGGCCTGCTCCTGACACATATGAAGTTTCAGATTGTCATTTTAAAGCATATTTAGTTTGAAATGTTTTATGAAATGACAACCTCAAGCTTTTAAAAAAAAAATGAGAGAGAGATTGTTGTATTTGTATCATTATTTAGGCATTATTTAAAGTCTCTGGAGCAACATATTTTTGGATAAAGGGTTGGGATGAAAAGGGCTGAGTTCTTTTGGGGTTGTTGAGCAGATTGAGCAGTTTACTGATCTGTGATGTGTCCCGTCTGCCTTGTCTTTGTCTTTCTATTCTTTCACTGCCGTAAGATAATAGTCTTGTGTGCTTGAATGTTAAGGCTGAAGATCACTGAACTGTTGCCCTGTTTGTTGTGGACCTGCTGAATGACTGTTACAGATGAAGGAGCCGCTGAGAAATTATGAAAGATTGAAAAGATGCTCTGTGTTGTGTGCAGAATGCAAATGTTTGGAAGCATTCAGAATACAATCTCTGGGACATGTTGAGAAACTAAAATAATGTTTAGATTTATTAACATTTTTGTACATATTTTTGTCCGACTAATTATGTTTTGTGGATTTTTTCTTTGGTTTTATATAAACACATAATTATATGCAGAATTAATCTAGAATTGGAATTTAGATAAAGTTAAATATTTCTTCCAGATGATTTAAAAGGAGTTTAGAGTTTACCTTAAAACCCTTTAAAGTTAGTTTGGTTCCATCGTTCCTGAATCATCACATATATATGTTCCTGTTTGAACATCCAGACTTGTGGACCCGAGTCATATGACTTCAGACCCATTACTGCTTTGGGTTAGTTTTTTTATTGTCATGTAATGAGGTTTGTACTAGTCCAGTCCTATGTAGATCCAGGATAGGCTTGACTGAACAATGTTGTTGGAAACTAAAAGTATAGCAAATGCTGTCATGAAAATTGTGTTGAACCATTAAACCATAAAAGTGGTACTTCCTGTTTGTGATGTGGCCCAAAGACCACGATCCTCCTAAAAATCCGACCCTCTGGCTAATTAAGTTCCTAATAGCCCTGAACAAGGCACTGTATTGAACAGGACTTCAGTCTTGTCTTTTGACTTGTAGAAAAAGATTTACTTACATAAGCCTTCAAACCTCTGCATAGTGGTTTGACCTTCACTTTTTTGAGATTTGAAGCTGACAATTTGGATATTTTCATAGTTCATTCTGAAGATGGAACAAGCCACTAAGAATAATTCAGAAGCAGCCCACACGGAACAATTAAGTTTTTTTGTATGTCCTCTTTCTTTATCCATGTTTTTCCTTCAGTCAGTACAATCATTGCTGTTATCTTAGTTAAACAATCACTTCCTCACTGTGTGTAATCAGAAATATGAGAAGGGCTGTTGTACTGTATTATGCACACGAGTCTCTGACAGACGCTCCATGTTGTACCAAAGTGAATGTGTCTGTGAACGAGTGCTTTTGGATTTCTCTTACTATGCATGATGCTGTAGCGGGGATGGGACGGGACTCCACCTGTTTACATGGCCGAAAAACATCTTCAGAAAGGCGTAAAGTAAATCCACAAACTGGGAGGCCAAAAAGTAACTTAGAGGCACAAAGTATTTATTTATTCTGTCAAATCGCTGTTACGTCTCGTCCCATCCCTCTGTATTGCTGTTTTAATTAGCACTTTAATGAGCATTTATCAAAACAATAAAATCTTTGAAAGTAAAACGTTTACTTGTTATTGATGTTTGTACAAATATGCAGAGTTTATATTTCCTTAAATATGACTTAAAGAAGACGGATACAGAACTGAAAAATTATACAAGCAACGAGAGGCACGTGTGGGAAAAACATCTCTCAACAATTTTAAATATATGACACAATATAATAATGATCCATTTCACTTTTGTCCAATGACGCAAGGAAGATACCCCATTTGATACAAGTAAAAACTATAAAAAATATACACACGAAACAACAAGCCTTCTGGACAGTGTATAGAATGTATCCACGTAAATGTGATGGAAGTGTTGTCTCCACTCTGGGTTTCTATAAAGTCCAGATGAAGGTTACGCGAGAGCTTACTGCTGTTCACGGCCACAGTCTTTAGTCACAGTATATGTTCAGTGACAGGGCTCCCACCGTAACCGTGGGAACAGAACCGTCACTACATCTCGAACATAAAGTCCAATGTTTTCACTCCGTCTGAAAGTCGGCGTACTGCTCTGGAGGAGGGATTATGGGGATCTGAAACTCCTGCTCCTGGGGCGGGCTGGACTCAGGCCTGTGGGAAAAACACAGTTTGTTTTTCAGGTGAAGCAGATTATGTCATATTTATATTTCTACCTATGCTTAGTTTAATTAAGATTACATTCATCCTGTTTTTGCATCAAGGATTATTCCGTATTGGAACATGTTCATTTATTTGTTTTAAGTTCAACTTTATTTTTCCCTGTAGGGAAATCTTTCCTTCGCACTTGTGCTGTGCTAACCCATCCTACAACGTCATTAGCCCAACCCCCAGGGACCAGTTTCCTGATGTTGATGCTCAGGACTACAGGACCTGGAGGAGGCTATTGTACATGTTTTTGTTGTTGACTAAAGGCTCAGTGCATTCACAAGAACATACTGGTAAATTAACAATAATAATAAATCAGTTTTATATAGTGTTTTTCAGGACAATAAAAGACGCTTCTCATGTCATTATTATTTCACTCCATACACAGTGGTGATAAACTACTACTGTAGCCACAGCTGCCCTGGGGCAAACTGACAGAACCGAGGCAACTAGTACATGAGCCCCTCTGACCACCACCACCAACCATTCACTCACTCACCAGACTTGTTCTAGGCTATGTGGGTAAAGTGTCTTGCCTGAGGACACATCAACAGTTTGGCACTTTACAGCAGCACCTGGTATTCCCAGAGGCCTCCCATCACAGTACTAACCAGGCCCTGCCCTGCTTAGCTGCAGCGGTCTGACAGGATCTGGCTTCCACATGCAGGTATGGCCATTTCAATTAAATTATCACATCCAAAGGAACAAGTCTACTTATTTTCTCAATCTGATCGCAATAGCAAATGTTTGATTACGTAATACATACATTTGACTTATACCGGAAATATATTCTCCTCTAGTGACTCATCTTGTTACTCAAACAAAGTGAGTTTTTCAATCACATATGGAACACAGAGTCCATACCATACATGTATTATACACTGATATTGCTGTACTTACACTGACTCTTCCTCCATAACTACTTCAGGAGCTAAGAATAAAAAAAATATTCTTAATTAGTTCAAATTTGGCCACAAAATGAAAATGAATGGTTTTATTGAATGGAACACTCACATGAGGCTGGTTCAACGGGACTGTAAGGGAGAAGCATAGAATAGAATTACAACCCGCATTATTACACCTCATAAAGACCATTGTACAATCAAAAGGAATTGGAAATAGTCATGACTAATATTTCGAATACCTCTTGATTTCACATACACTTGACGCAGTTTTGTACCTGGCAGGGGACTCCGTGGTTTTGACAGGGTGGAAAAAAGTGGCGAGCTTCTGAAGTGCTTCATGTCTGGCTCTATTCAAACACATTTAACACATTTAGTTAATTTAAATTGAATAATCAGGATATTAAGTATGAATTATGAATTAAACCTACTGCTGATTGGGGCCGTCTGATAGATCACTGTGACTGTGCTGATGGTTTATACTGAGCACTTCTGATCCTGGATGCATAGATACTGTATAGTGTTAAAAAACATTCATAAAATACTGATAACAAAACTCAAGAATTTGACTTTTGATCAGTATTGTTATCAACATAAGCCGTTTGAGTCACAAAGTGTGTGTTTGTTGTCTTACCCGTGTCGCCCATGACCGGCAACGAGTGCGCTCTACTGTGGACACTGACAAGAAGATCATTAGAATTAATAATTATGCATTTTTTGTTTTTGTTTTTTTAAACAATAAATGCATCAGGCCGATTGTACTCACACTGGCAGCTGCGCCTCTATGTGGTCGGTGGGAGAAAGCGGCTCGTCATCATCACAAGTCCATTCTTCACTGTCATCTGTGACTGAATATTTCATTTGAATGAGTATTGTTAAGTTAATTTAAGAAATGTATTGCACTGTTTTGATAGTAGTGAAATACTTACAGCTCTCATTGGGATAGTGGTTTGGAGCCCTTCAATATAGAAACACAAATATCCAATTATTGACTGCCAATTTACATACATTCAAGATGCAATGAATGAAACTCACTGAGATCTGCACACATTTTTATAGAGTTATTAATGTTCGAAAATTAAAGTCCTGGATCTCCCCCTCAATACTTTTATCAACTGGGTTTTTGATTTGTTCCTAGCAGTAGGGTCTAAGGGCAGTGGTGATGATGCCATGGACATTTAAGGACATTTATGGGCATTTATTAATATTTAGGGACATTGGTCATTCCCCCTTTTTCGACCAATAGCTCTATGTGGTTTTTATCATTGAATTTCCTGTTTGTTTATCTGATCTGTGTTGGCAAATCAACAATTACACAGTTGTAAATGCCTTCGAGATGACTACTGTTGTGATTTAGGCCTATAAAATATAAAGTGTGGGGACCTGCATTTTGTATCATATAATTTGATTAACAATGCAGAAAGAACTTGGACAAAAAACGCTTTGGGCTGAGAGCCGATAACTTGACTTCACTTTTCTGTTGGAAAAAGATGATCTGGAGCTGTCCCAAAATATCATGCTTTGTATTTATCTTTGTGTAGGCCTAAATCACAACAGCAGTTGTCTCGGAGGACTTCACAAAGTTGTCGATCCACCAACAACTGATAAAAGAATCAAATACTTTGAACACAAAAAATACAATAAGAACAAACACATAGGGAGCACAATGACCAATGCCCATAAATGTTCATAAATGTCCTTAAATATCCTGGATCATCACTGTCTTTAGACCCTCCTGCATCTGCAAGGAATGACCCCAATATCTGAAGAGTTTTCCAGCATAACTCACCCAGCGCTGGGGACCTCCGGCTCCACACTGGTGTTGTTCAGTCGGGACACCGCTGCCTTCTTCCCCAGCTCCAGCATCTCCTTTATGTCCAGATCCAAATGGTCCACAGCCACGTAACCATCTGAGGCACACGGCATTAAGAAATACAAATAAACAAACAGAACTTGAGGTGTGATTCTATACAGCAGCGTGTTTGCTCACAGTTGTTGCTGCTGTCCCGGGCCAGCCACTTCCCCTTGGGGCAGTTGGTGGTCCTGATGATGCTGATGGTGTCTCCACTCTTCACTGGGAGGTCCTGCTTCCGCCCTTTTGTAGTTACGGTCACTTTGGCCTGATACATGGCATCCTCCTGCCCCGTGATCTGCGGAAGGATACACTTTTCTCACTCAAACATATAGACAGTTGGGCTGGAAAGTTTACACACCACCAAGACAGATAATGTGTGTGTGCTCACTGTGCTGTTGTGTGTGTGCTATGTTTCAAAGATTCTGAATGATAACGCAAACAAGTTTTTAGTCATTGTTGGGGTTGTGTGAAGCCATAAATATATGTGGTTTTTTTTCTCAAATTATAATAACAGAAAACTCAAATCACAATGATTAAAAAGAAAATTGTCATGATACAAGGTCAAAACAATGGATCTGGGGGAATACTGAAAGAGCAAAAAAATATATAAATAAAATGTAGCTACGTTTCAGAAGGCCTCAGATCTATCTTTTTGACCATGTGTTATAACTATTTTCTTTTAATTTGGTCTTATTCGGTCTGTTTGTGTCCCAGATTTCACACGGTGGACCCTACAGTTCTCACCTTTCTTGTTTTGCAGCTCCCTATTGACAACCCTGATTAAAAATGTACTCCAGTATTTTTGTCTATTACCCCATTTCACATCTACAACAGCTTCTCTTCTAATAATAATAGTGCATTGGTTTTATATAGCGCTTCTTTGGACACTCAAAGACGCTTTACATGTCATTATTCATTCACTCCAAACACGGTGGTGATAAACTACTAATGTAGCTACAGCTGCCCTGGGGCACACTGAAAGAAACAAGGCAACCAGTATGTGCCATCGGCCCCTCCGACCACCACCAACCATTCACACACACACACAAGACTCATTCTAGGCAATGGGGGTGAAGTGTCTTGCCTAAGGGCACAACGACAGCAGACATCAGTGGGAGTCGGTGGAGAAAGTCTTGTGGTGGGCTCGAACCCACAACCTTCTGGCTCAAAGCCTAATGCTCTACCAACTCAGCTACTGTCACCTAGTCCTTTGAGATCTCCCGAGTGTGGCGCAATTATATTATCAGTTGAGAATAGAAAACATTTGTTGTTGATATATAACCATTAAAAATAAGTGGGGAAAAACTTAACGCTGTTATTATCCATGATCTCCCAAATACGACCAAAACAATGAAGTCTAAAGTGTAATCCTTCACAAATACCACCTTAAAGAGTGATTGCACATTTCTTGTCTTTTTGCACACCCTGAGAGATTCTATTTATGCCAAATGTGTCAAAAAATTCAACCTTGTTAACACAGATTCCAAACGCAGCTCTCGGACCGCGAGGAATGAACGCAGACTGGTTTTAAACGCAGAGTCCCCACCCTCCCCCGTGTTTCCCTGACTAAACTGTATCATTACAATTATTACTCACTTTGAATTTCTTCTTCAACTCATTCTCTCTCTTCTCCCTCTCCTTCTGCTCCTTCTTTTCCCGCTCTTGTCGCTCCTTCTGCTCCTTTTTCTCTTTCTCCATCCGTTGTTTTTCCTTTTTCTTCAGTTCTTTCTCGTCCGGACCCTCCGCCGCAGCCTTCTTGTCGCTCCTGAATCAAAGATAGCCTTTTGTTACAGAGAGACTTTGAAGTGTGTTGCTAAAGCAGCACAAGTGATTATGATGAGGACTCTTTCCTAGCAAACAAGCATATCCTTATCTTTCAAAGCGTTTGGAAATAACAAGCGTAAAAAGGGGTCAAGTGAGAGTGGGACGTACTTGCCAAACCTGCCAGTCTTGGTTTTCTCTTCAGTCTGTATAATGCACAAGGACACTTAGCATTAGGGACCAAATATTCTCAATGAAAAGCAAGGAGCTACTTAAAATCCATAATGGTTTGAGTACTTTATGAGTCTTACCTTGAGTTCTTGAGTTTCTGCATATGGATCTGAAAGTAAAATCAAATGTTAAGTGGGTGCATGTACATCTTGAATTGACCATTACACAACAACAACAACAACAACATACAGAACCTACCCCAGACCAAAAAGCAAAAGCAGATTATAGATATGTGCTGGATGTTTTCTGATGGTTTTATCTTTCATCTGTTCCAGCTTGTCCCCATAACGTAACGTAAACAACACTTAGTATGGCATCTACTTATGTCGTGTAAGATAAGATAAGAAAACCTTTACTTGTCCCTCAGTGAACAAATGTCAGTGTCATTATTGTGGACATTACAGCAGATAATTAAGATAATACTGTAGATAACATATAAATAATAGACTCGAGCTATAATTGCATCAAAAGTAAGTACATGGAGTATACATTGCAGTTAGCAGTCAGAAAGTTTCACATTTACAGATGGTACTTTAACAGCAGAGAATGTGACCACAATAAATAGTAATAACAATAACAGCAGCAGGTAAAGTGACAGGTGAATTGTCAGTACAAAATAATGTGTGTGTGGCAGGACTTTACAAAAATCATAATACTATAATATGGCAAATTATGGCTGGATTATTCATTTGATCAATAAATAAAATATAGTACACTGTGTTAGGTCTTGGTTCAATAGGTTATATGCAATCATTTCAATATGTTTTAATAAACATTGGACCAGTCCGGCCCTCGGTTTGTTGCAAATTTGTTTTTTCGGGCCTCTGATGTATTTGACTTTGATGTCCCGGTTGTAACTGTTTACTGTCATGGAATGTAAATGTTGTATCTATTTGGTTTATGGCTTCGGTTTATCTATCAGACACAACAAGAATATCAACAACCATGATTTGATAACATTGAATTTGATAATGTAGCTCAAGCTTTGTTTAAGAAGAACAGTTAATAAATGAAATATGTTTCTTACTCTTGGGTTGTCCTTTGCGCTTCTTGACATCCCCCTTCCCTTTCTTTTTGGATAAAGTTGATACATCGTCGTAAGCACTGTCTGCATGTTCATAGGGATTGTCATCACCCTGGCTCCTATGATGTATACAAACAAAATTATCACTAAAATACTTATTGCAATATGAACGATTTCAATATTTGATGCATTACCCTGGTGTTAGTATCAAGGAGTTCTCTGGTGAATCATGGAGTTCTGGTGTCGTGGCTTGGACCTCGCCTGTGGGGATGGTCCCGTTGGGGAGGTAGGGTCCGTCTTTAGCAATTGTTCCAGACCCGTCATTGTCCCCACTGCCCCAGTCCGACACAGGCAGCTCAGGGGAGTGCACCTTTGGGGTCACATCACCAAACTCCAGCTGTGCACCAGAGTCTGATTCTGAGAAAAAGTCAGCTGGAGCTGGGATTGCCAAAGCTGAAATACAAGAGTCCAATGAATAGTAGAAAGTGAAAAGTTACACTTTAATTATTGTAGCATTTGTCTTGCTGCAGGGAATGTCCACACCACATACTTCATCCATTATTGAATACATGTTTATGCTGTGCAAAATAGGGGATCCTTCACATATACAGTGATTAATGAAAAAAAGTCAAAGCCAGTCGGGATATATGTATCTGTTGTATTCTTGTAGGCGAGCCACTAAACCCACTTGGTTAAAGTGGGTTTAGTTATGAAAAGGGTTTAGTTATGAAAAGGCTTGGGTGACCAATGGTGCACACTGACAGTCCTGGGGCAGTTGTGGCTATACTATTTTATTATATGACTTGGACCGTACGCGCGCTCTGATTGGCTGATTACCGATTTTCCCATCTCGGACCGTTACCATGACAATTGGTCCGAACAGCGCGTAGCACATTTGATATCTTTCCTCGGACCGTTACCATGACAATCTGTCCGCAGCGCGTATCACACAAAACCAAGTCGGACATGAACATACCCCACAAATATCTCAAAAGCATTGGTAAAGACACAGCCGAGAGTCATATAATAAAACATTTATAAACCTCGCTTGCTCGGTTAATAAGCCGTTAGTAGCTTACTCCTTACTTTGAGTGAAAAATGGACTGTAAAGCACCTTAAAGTTATGGTTGTCAGGGCAATGCAAAACTGTGAAGAAGCCCATATTCCACTTCCTTTATACCATGTGAAAGTCAGAATGAGTGTGTTGTGTACTGACCACTGTCCTCCAGAGGTGGTGGAGAGAACACGCTGAGGTCTACAGAGTGAGGCCGCTCAGGCTTAGGAGGAGCCACGATCTCAAATTCAGACAGGGGTCTTCTGGGGGGAGGAGGGGGGACCTCGGACGGGTCCAGAAAGTCGTCTTCTGTAAGCTCCTTAAACACCAATGACGATCCTACATACAAAAAAACCACTGAGCAGCGATTGTGAAAGGCTTTACAATAACAATGTTTCTATTGCAGCACACAGATGATATGTGAGCAAACCAAACCAGTTATACAAAGTTTAACTGTTAAATTCCTACATAAACATCCTGTACATAAATGTCAATGCTTTATATTTAACAAAACAAAATTCCAGAACGACTTTTACTTATACGTCTGACTTCCATTGTCAAATGTATACATTGACAGATTTATCTGCATAATCATCATATACGGGATGTGGGCCTCCTGGTAATGGCTGCTGACTGGACATAGTCATATGGTGATTCAAGGGACCTAATACATTCATGGACAACAATAAAAATGCTAATGAACATGGTTTGTATACAACAGCACAGTCTATTTCATTTGATGTTGTCAGAGCAGCTCAAAATGACGGACATGCTACTCCTCCTCGTATCATTTCTGTCATACCAGTGCTCAGCCCTGCCTGCACCATGCTGTCGCTGACACTAAAACAACAGCTCTGCTCCAGACTGCAGTGTTTTTAAGGACACTTTCTCCAGCCAACACCTCCGGCACCACTGGCATCAGCCACACTGCAGTCTGCAGGCTTCATACTAAAGTGCACAACATAGCTGTGGAGCAGTACCTGAAGGCCCCATCCAACAAGTGGGAAACGGAAGGAAACAGAACAGTGCATGTCTTCCATACAGTCTGTTCAAGATAAGATAAGAGATCCTTTATTCGTCCCACAGTTTTCAATGTTGCAGCGCACATGCAGAGCAGTAGTAAGCACAGGGAGCACACAAAATATAAGAAAAGAAAAGAAAAACTATTTTTATGATCTTTGGCATTGATAGAATCACTCAGGGTGTGCAAAAAGACAGGAAGTGTGAAAACATGTTAAGAAGGTTAAAATATAGTCTCTTTTGTGCAAGATACTGTATATTCAGTTCAATTTATTATTATGTACAATGTAAAATGTAAAAGTGACTGGCAGTGCGAGTTTTTTCAGTGTAGTAGTTTGTGTAGTTTCTAGTGTAGTGACGTATTGTACAATATGAGTAGCTGCTGTTTCTTCGCTATCTGTAAATACTTCAATATCAATCTTTAAAAACATCTCTCTATATATTATAGGGCAAAAATTAAATAACATAAAAATAAGTCAAATCTATCAACTCACTCATATATTCATTCATTAATTTTCATCCCCTTTATTTATACAATTCTGGGTTGGGGGTGCCATCCAATCTTCATAAATCTCTCACTGAAATGAAGGGCTTAAGGTAGAGTGGGGTTCAGTGTCTTGCCCAGGAACTCAAGACCAATTCTCAAACACTCAAACATACAATCACCTAGTTATAACAACATCAATGTGTTGCAAAATAATAAAAAAGAACTTACTGTGGTCCAAGCCATTCATCTCTGGTTTTGGGGGAAGGTCTTGGCCCATCTTTCCTTCATAGTCAATGGGAGGGAGATCAAACAGTACAGGTCTATCTTCTGCAGAAGGACTCATAAGCAGAGGAGAGGCCGGTTTGTGATGGCTGAAGACAAATAAAAGAATTATAGATATAGTATTTAGGTCATAAATATAATTGATAGTATACAATATCACATTGCTTACTTATGAGCCATCTTGCGCGCCTTTTCGAGGGCGTTGAAGATCCTCGAATCCCCCGGTGGAGTCCTCTTCCCTGGGTTCATCTCCTCGGCCCTCTCCAGAACCGACAGGGCAGACAGAGGCCGCTCCAGTTTAGGAGAAGCTGAGATAGAATCTACATCCACAGATGGAGAGGGGATGTCTAAAGCGTTTAAATGTTCTATAGAAAGCTCGGGTTCAGGAGAAGGGTTAGAGAGTGTGGGGGTAGGCACAGTCACTTCTGGATCTGGAGTTATGAGGAGAGGGGCCAGGACCGCGGGCAGGTCGTTCAGATTGGGTGGGTGGGCGAGATGAGCAGTGTCTATGGGTGCAGTGGTTTCACTCTCCAGGGTGGGAGCGAAAGGGAGAGATAGGGCCTCAGTGCTAAATGCTGGAGCAGGGGTGAGGTCCGAGGAGGTGGAGATGGAGAGAGGAAGTGTCACTGCTGTAGGACCAGAGGTAGGTATCAGAGACTTCGGAGTACTGGCTTCTGTGGCAGAGCTGGTGATGTCCTCTGGAACTGGAATCAAAGGAATTGGTCCTACAACCTCAGAACTGGGACTATCCATAATTGGGTACCCGGTAATCTCCAATGAATCTCTTTTAGATTTCTTAAAGAAGAACCCCTTCTTTTTCAAGGTGGTGTTTTTGGGAGGAGGCGTGGCTGGGACCAGCTCCGCAGTGGCCTCCTTCTTCTTCTCTTTTTTGGTCTTCTGTGGTGGAACATCCTCGTCGTACAGCCGCTCTCTGCCTCCTTTGCTCCCTTTATCTTTGCTCACTTTGACTTTGGAGATTTTGGAGTTTGATGGAAAAAGTGGCTTCTTGCTCTCCTTCTTCTCATCCTTGAAAACCACTCGAGGAGCAACAGTGCTCTTGCCCTCCAGACTCCGGTTGATGGTGCTGAGCAAAGAGGGCCGTGCTCCTGCAGGCATGTAGTTTGTGGGGCTCTGTGGTGGAGGCACGACTTTGGGCTTCTCTGGCAGAACTGGTTTGGACTTAAGGGGCTGCTTTAGGAGCAGCTCCTCCTCTTCCTGAAACTTGGCCCTCAGGGCTTTGAAATCCAGAGAGTTTTCCTGTGAACAACAGGATACAAATACTAAAAACAGTCAGTGAATACTATAATTAAACTGAAATGTGTTTACAACAGTGTGGGAATTTAGGGCAAAAAAGTTGTGCTCTGTTCTGGTAGCATCAGTTTGGGTCTCCATCATGGTCTCTACCATGAACAAAAAAATGCATCGTGGACCTTCACAAATCTGACTTGTCCTGGAGGGGAGCGTCCCCCGTGTTTAAGTGAAAACGTTTTTTTTTCCATTGTATAATTTTTCTTTAGTTGTTCAAGAAGGAGAGCTACACTATCAAAACAATTAGAAAATCGATCTGTATCTATAATCTATGGATTGATTGTCTGTGTAAATGTATTAGACCGAATGAAAGTGCCTATCCACCTGCAAACCATCTCTAAATAATTACTTTTAAACAGAAGTCCGCCTTTCAGATATCACCTTTAATAACAACGCTAACAGCTCTCTGGGCATGGCCCTATTACGACATACGTAGTTGTCTAAACATACCTCGTCCATGGTTAGTATCTATTCCCAAAAGCGTGAGTCCTGGTCTGGTGCGTCAGCCTCTCATGGTCCCATGTCCCGGGAGTGCCCACAGCGTGTGTCCGGTCCCACAGCAGAATGCCCAGGCGCTCACAGGTTCCACAGAGACACTGATGTGAGAAACAGCAGGGCAGGTCAGACGGGTCCTGTCCTCCTGAGAGCGGCTGCTCCACACACTTCCTCAGCGACAGGAATGCCGCTCGGCTGGCATTACGCGTACGTGTGAAATGACTCACTGTCATGAGCAGGTGCAGAGGCCTTTAACTAGTCATATACATATCAATACAGGATCATGGGACTGTGCTTCCTCTTGGGCCTATACGTGTGTTCTTGTTTTAGTAAATTAAGCAAACTCTGGCTGTTCATTGTTTTGTCATTAGCTGTATATATTAGATTACAGAAGCAAACATAGAACTGGATAGTCAACATTCTTTCTTTGTTACTCTGGAGGTAAACGTATTTATCCAAGCATTTGTGATATGACACAAAATACACCTGATGACAGATGCAGTGCCTTCAGAAAAGCTTGTCTTCTGAGACACAGACGAGAAGCAGCAATAGCTCCCATGTTCTATTAGTTTCATTGTGGAAGTGCACCTCCCTCCCCCCAACAAACACACACAACGCGTAATAATTGCAAATGTTTGTGTGTACACTTTTAAGTCTGGAATGCATAGAATGCATGCAGTTGAGTTTTGTCTTCAAATGCTCAGTTGGTTTCATGATTTATGATTGAGTTGAACATAACTTTCTACTTCTTAGCATGGTGTGTGTCCAATATTTTTTTAGCGAAAAGGTAGTGGCCTTTTTTGGGTCCTAAGCATCACCCCAGGGTTCTCCAGCCAATTCAGCAAACCTTTATTATTATTATTCAAGCATAACATAGTATACTCCTCACAGTTAAAGGGCCCCAGTCCTCTGCTCCATGTGCTGCTCACAGCAGAACCTGCTGCAGAGCTGCTCCACACTCAAGGTCTGAAGGTCTGAAAACTTGAACATTGTTGTCAAAAGCACAGGCCTCCTTCTGTTTTATGTTGTTTGACTGTATATATGAAGCCTACAATAGGCTACATGTGTGTAGAGAAATGTAGAGAAATAAGTAATTCTGGAATTTAATGGCTAAAAGTCTTACTAAGATTCTCTGCCATATCCAGAAAGAGACCTGCTACTGCCTTCCACCAAATTACACAGAAAAACACATCTGTACATTTCTAGTCATCTTTTTTTTATATGTCGTATCGTTTTCATCAAACATTTTAAATGTCTAGTGTTGTTTTATCATAAGGAACTGTAGTAAAATAGTACACATGTTAAAGGGATCCCCAGGGGACCCTAATTTGGGAATAACTAGGACATAACGGTGCTCAACAACAACAAGGATTTTGATTCTCCAAACTATAGTTTTATATCCACTACACCTTAATTAACCTTTTTCCTGTCATAGAGTGAAATGATTAATAAAAGCATAAGTCTCCTTTGAACAATACACTGACTGCACTGTTATCACATGACAGTGAGCTGCAGGAGAAGCCGCCCCAAAGGGAAATGCAGACAATGAGCATTGTGGATTAGGCAGTAACTAGGACACCATTTAGAGAAAGACACAATCCCTTTTCACTGCTTAGTGTCATAAAAATAACCCTCAGTGTTGCAGCTTAGAGAGTAAAAGTGAAGTCTTGCACACATTGGTTGAAGCGTGCTGTGACCCTGGACTCGGTGGAAGAAAACTATGCATTAACCTTGCTTTAAGGCAAAAGCTTCTTAAATACTGGTGAAATAAAGGAGCAGAAGGAAGGCGGAATACTGTGTTGTCGCTGGCAGCTAATAAACCATACGACAGCTTGGATTAGAGTCTGCCAAAGTGACAGGGCCATTAAAATCATGTTAAATTACTACTAAATACTTGGGCTAGTTACTTCAGACTGTACAGACGCATTAGGTCACCCCTGCCGCGCACAACCCATTAGTCTCAATCCCCTTCACGCTCACACACACAACACTTCGACAAGTCATTGAGATGTGTTTATTTGTAACAGTAATACATGGTGGCATAATCAACTGAACCAAAATCATCTAAAAATCCACTGTAGAATGTCATCGTCATAAAGATAAAAAATAAGGTGTCAATTTTACATTAAGAAACTGTTAGCTGAGGTAAAGTTAAAATAGGTCTAGAAATGTAATGTACTCAAACAGCGATGGTTCCCTTTTTATTTATTATTCTTTGCTCTTGTCTCCTGGATGGCATGTGTTTCCTCTCCAGGCGACATGGACAGGGACTCTGGCCATAAAATAGGGAGCCTCTGGCATCACAGTATGGAGTTATAGCAGAGAAGCTGAAGCGTCACTGACAGCAGCAGTTTGGCACCTGACTGACAGATAAATGGGCAGGACGTGAACTGGCCGACTGGAGTGTGGACGCTGACAACAAACACACAACTTCACACTTCAAAACAAACTTCCACGCACCGTACAAGAGTGGCTCAAAGCGGTCGTTGGCTTAGAGAATGTTTTGTAATAATAGTTGGCCTTGTAAGCTGGGATAGCTGTGAAGTGTGACAGGTCTACATTCTAAATTAGGCCGATAAACAAACATAGTGTGACCCTGAAAGGAAAACATATGTTGGTATTGCTTGGGTAAAGTGAGGAGTTTGCATAACTGAAGTCTTCCTATTTTATGGCACAGAAATCCAGTGGACAGAATATTATTATTTACAAAATGTGTTTGGCAAACCAACTATCAGATGCCTTAAAGCCATGTATACTCTATGTCCAATAGAGCTGACCCCAGTGGCTTGATTGACTTATAAAATAAAAATTCACTTTTTTCATTTTTTTCAAAATCAATATTGTACAAAAGCTATAGAGAATGAAGAGTTCAATCACAGAATCTGTCTCTGGCCTCTTCCCTCTCGGGTCCTTTCTACAGTCCTGGTCCTTAAGCCTTCAGTCTTTCTGCTCGAGAGACGTTTGGCAAATCACAAAGTGTGTTAGGGGATGTTTTAAGTGTACTGCATGTGTGTGAGGAGCTCCCGGAGAGTCTGTTTCTGCATAGAGATCAAGCAGACACTCACAAGGATGGGGAACCGCCCCAAAAGCGACCGACCGATCCTGTCATGTCCCAGCACAGATTTTCAAAAGAAAAGATGATCTCACTAATCCTTGTAAGCGTGCATGTACTTGTACTGAAAGTTTAATGAAGACAGAGGGAGGCACTGCTTGATTCGGTAGTCCCTCCCTGGCGCGACAGTCCCAGGCCAGAGGGGCGTGGAGGAGCAGGGCAGCAGGGCGGGGTCCGGAGTATGTGTAAGGCTGGCTCTGGGGGGCCACAGCGAGATGTGAGGAGACTTGTCCTGTCCAAAACGTGAGACCTGGACGGGACAGCTGCAGGGGAAGAGGGGAGTTTGGGGGGAGCGTAGGAGTGATGGCTCTTGCTAGGACGTGGATAGCAGGAGAAGATGAAGAGGAGGTCCACATTCATACAGTGATGCGTGATGGCTCTGCTCCTGCCCCACTGCTGCTGGTCGGGGGCGTCTTCTTGTGGGTCTCTATTTCTTCCCTTTGTTGATCTTGGCGTAGAGAGGGTCTTTTCCCTTCTGGACACAAAAAGACAAGGAACAGTCAGCAAGTTCAGTCTCTCATTTCATTGTTTGGACTTCGATATACTTTTAGTCATTCACACTTAAAATGACTTGGACAGAACATTTTAAAATCAATGTCAAACACTTAGTTGTTACTTGCCGATGATGATCTGGGACATTTAAGGACATTTATGATCCTGCTTTTCTGATCTGTTTTTGAGGAAACATTAACTTTGTATAGTCCTTCGAGATGACGGCCGTTATGATTTAGAGATTTAAAAACTTAAATTGAATTGAACTGAATTGTAAAAAAATAAAAAACAAGGTATATGTCATAAATTAGACAATAAATAAAACTAAAATAAAAAACCAGAACTCACAAGCAGTGGAAAACAGAAACAACAGAATAGGCAAAAACCTGTGTGTGTGTGTTGCAAGGAAACCAATCTAAGAGGAAACGTTGATTGATATTGTCTTACTGTTTTGTGGCCTTCCAACACTGAGAAAATATGTATTTGATCCACAAGGGGGCAGGAGTGCACTGCTTTGCACTCTACTAATTACTTTAGTTCTGAGCTCGTTTAAGTCTCAGCCTTCGCACTTGAAACATAAAGAAAGAAAGGGGCAGTTATAACTTGCCATTGTTACACCCCCTCCCACTCCAGGCTTCCTCAGGGCTTGTATGAATCAGAGGAATAAACTGGCCTTGAAACACCAGTTCTGAGTCATAGCCAGAATCTGCCTCCATCTGAGACGAACAGAGGATGATGGAGCACCCCACAGCGGGGCCAGTTATTATCATACACATAATTACACCAGCCACTCCATCTCTCACACAGACATGCTGATTGGAGGCTTTTGACTGTTGTGGTATATTTGGGGCAGATCCTTGTTAAGCCTGAAACAAGTTTTCACAATAAGTGTTTCCATTCTCCAGGCCGCTGAACAGAATTGTGTTTTAGACATTAGACATGACATCTGAGCAATCGTCTTTGTTTCTACGTCCCATAAAGGATTTCTCTGTTGTAGAAAAGTCCAAAAGGTCTATCCACGTAGTAGTGAGTGTGGGTTTGGCATTGCACTCTGAGATGGAATTCTTCGTACAATGAGAGAACAGTATTAGTATGACTATAACTGAAAATCTCATTCCTGGCTCCTCGTGAGTGAACAAACTAGGGTTAAACTTGGACGGAGAGCGTTTAGCAGCAGCGGATCGAGCCTGAGTGCAGAGCTGTGAGTGTGGGGACTGCCAGGGCCAGACAGTCAGCAGAACGAGCTGCCAGAGGAACTGAGACAAAAAGGCAGAGACACAGAGCCGTGCTCTGAGCCGCTGCAGCCTGCACAAGTCAACCCGCATCATCTGTGCAGAGCTGCCAGCTCCAGAGGCTTCGACTCCATCTGACTCCAAACACTGCAAACACAATCCAGCGAGAGCTGCTGCAGTGAGAGCTGAAGTGGCTGCTCCTCATCCTATAGGATTATTCATTCAATAAGAACATGTTCTTATTGAATGAATAATACTTTTTATGGTCCCACAATGGGGAAATTAAAGTTACGGCTAATTCAAAGTTGAAAATAGGGAATATATATAATTTATGTGTTATTATTATCATTGTGATTACGAATACACAAACCAACCAGGCTGTATAATAATCCTGGATTGAACTGGGTTATATTAATTTCAGCTCATTTTTATTAAATAAAAAGCCATACATTTAAATATCAACAGAACTGTTTTTTATATTAAATCAGTCAGAATGTTTTCAATCTAAACATTAGAAAAAATGAAACAGTCATACTTGTGTGAGTAAAACATCAGAACAAAAACACACCTGCACACCACAGGTTGAGAACCCTTCCTACAGCATCCCAGTACGAGTGTGTCAGTTTGAGGAGAGAGCCCACTTTGTCAGAGCTATGGTACAGTGTTGGCTGCGAGGAGAGCACAGGTGGCCCCAGCATGGATCACAGGTGTGCGTGTGCAGGGAGTAACCAGCCTCGGCGACACTGTTTGTGTGTATGTTTGGGGCGATGTCTAAAGTCAGTGTGATTGAGCAAGTAAACACCATATGGGAGCAGCCGCACTGGACCACCACTAGGGAGGGGAAGGATCCACTCAAAGCTTTTGGCCAGTTTCTGCAAACAGCAATTTACAAACCAACCTGCCCCATTTAAGGCACACATGCAGCTGCCACCTCTGAGTCTTAGCCCAGAGGAAGTTTAGTGGGGGAAGGGGGACTCGCACTCTCTGCCAAGCCAATACTCCAGCCGTATCTTGGGATTTGAATTATGCCAATTATGTAGGTAGGCTCATTAATCTTGGCACCCCTGTATTAGCTGATGAAACTAAGCCACTCTACTTTGCCAAAGTCAGAGCCAGGAGATAATTTTAGAGTTGCAATCAGGAAAATATTGTGTGGGATTCTTTTTTCCCTCTTTGTTATCTTCAGTTTTGGTACAATAATTGAAGCATGTATAGATTTAGATAAATATGGATCTAAAATTGTCTTTTAAGGTTCATTTGGCTTTTTTTTATTTTAAACATAATAAATCTGTTTTTCTTTTCAATAATACACGTAGATTTCATTAACATAATCATCTTTAATTAAACATAGAATTGCATTTATTCACATTTCAAATCAAAGCTCAATCCCAGAAGTCCTTGCACTTGCTCTCTTTGGCAATCACACATAATAACCTGCACTTCAGACATATGTGGTATTTTAGGAAGTAGGAAAGAAAATGGAAATAAAAATCAAATCACTGCACGTTCCACTATATATAGGGAGGAAAATACCGCTTCACATTGTACAGCAAACTTGAAACAACATGACATAAACACAATGAATCAATCTCACCACTCAAACATGCCCGAAATGTGAGAAATGAAAAGAGAAATGCACACACACAAAAACGCAAGAGAAGACAGAAAAAGGGGGAAAAAAGGGGGAAACAAGTCAAGCGGCATAACATGGAGTGGCGCTTCATACCTACCGTGCCCCGCTGCTATCTAGCTCCCAGCCTCCGGACTGCCCTGGTCTGGACTGGGCTCTGGTGCCTCAGTCGGCTCTGCGCTCTCACTGGGACAGGGAGAACCAGAGCCACACGCCTGGACAACAGGTGTGGGAAAGATGGAAACAAGGAGGAAGAGATAAAGAAGAAAGAATTAGTAAGAAATATGAAGCTAAGGGTTAGAGAGTGTTGCAGGTAAAAAAAGAGAGAGTCAGTCTAAAGAAGAGCATTGTTATGTAACTATGTGTCACAGGATAATATCGTAATGTTACATCGTCAAAGCTGAGGTCATCAAGAGAAGGAAACATTAATGATACCACCATCAAATAACATGAAAATCCATTATCTGTCTATGCCAATATCATACAAACAACAAATACATACACTGGTTTGAAAAAGTAGTTATACCCGTTAAGTTTTCCAAATGACTTTTACCTTCAAAGAAATATACATTCTAGATCAGGGGTCGGCAACCCGCGGCTCCGGAGCTGCATGCGGCTCTTGAGTGCTGCTGGAGTGGCTCCTGGAGCCTTTTCAAAAATGTCTAAAAATGGAGTGTGAGGGCTATATTTTATTTCTAGTTTGAATGTGGTTTCTGTAGAAGGAAAAACAATCTTTACGTTTTTAAATGCTGTAAAAATATGTATAAGTAATATCTAATTTCAACATTTCTGTCAACGTAGTGCGTCATATCCTATGACGCGCGGTCACGCGGCCCCGCCCCATGCGGCCGCTGCTGTAAACAAACCGGCGTGTGTGCATGATAGACTGTAGGTGCGCATGGATCCCAAAGCTAAAACGAGAAAGAGTCGATAACAAGACTGGACTAAGAATGAGAATGAACATTTTCTTTCAGTCAATGAGGAAGGACTGCTTCATGTTTGTAATGAAAAGTTGTTGCAACACGAGGAACGATGACGCGCAAAACGACGTAAACGGTGATTACGTGAAGGATTCATTCATCAAAAATTCAGAGCACCTATTTTCAGACTTCAAAACCTTCTCAAAGACGGTGAAAGAAAAGGCCATTAAGGATTTTAATTCAGCTCCAGCAAACTTCAGCCTGTGACGTGATGGATATGAGCAGACAGTAATGCAGGTATGTGACCTCTGAGCCCAAAGCAGATTTATTTACTGTATTTTCTACAATTGCATGAAGGCAAAAAAATGGAAGTTAAACTAATAAAGCAGAGTTGTCACGTGTTGCGTCATTCACGACACGCGTGGTGCGACACGCTGCAGTGAAAATACACATTTTATAATCATGAATGATTATTATGTATTTGTAGCCTTTACTTTGTCATTTAGATATTAGGCTAATATAGCTAATACATCTTGCAGCCTGTGTTAACTTCATAAAAGCCTTATACAAGGCTGTTATTTTTTTGCGGCTCCAGACAGATGTTGTTTTTAGTTTTTTTTTTCAATTATGGCTCTTTGAACATTTTGGGTTCCCAACCCTTGTTCTAGATAATTGTAAAAATCAAAGCAGAAAATGGCAAACTTTTATTATTTTCTTTAAATTAAAAAACTGTTGCATGCAAAAGTAATCAGCCCCCTTCTTTCGAGTGCAACCAATTGTCAGTTTCCGTATGACTGATGAATGGTTAAATGCTGATCTATTACGCAAGGCAAGGTAAGTTTTTTTGTATAGGTAAGTTCATACACACAGCAAATCAAAGTGCTGAACAAAACAAGATAGAAACAGTCACACAAAGCATTAAAATCATTAAATATTAAAGAACATTAAAACGAGTAAATCCCTCAGTTGTATGCACAGCTAAACAGAAGTGTTTTGGATTAGATTTGAAGATCAGAAAGACTGTTTAAGAGATTTAAGCTAATCTTTGATGGCCTCAGAGAATTGAGGCCATCACAAGAGGTCAGGGATGAACTTGAGGAGAAGTTTAAAGTATTGTTGGGTTATATAAACATTTCTTTAAACATCTCACAAAGCACTGCTCAATCCATCAATGACATTTCAAGTTGAACAAGGACAACACGGATGCAGATAAGAGGCCAGTGGATACTGTGAAGTGGAGCTGTAGACGTCCACAGCTCACCTGGGGAATATCAGTCATGCACGACACAACTCTGGCCTGCCATAAGAAGCAAAACTGTTGTTGTTTGAATCGCTGTCAAACAATCTCCATCCAACATGATGTAGCTTGAGAGAAAATCAGTCACTTTCTGCTGTAATTAAAAAGGGGTTTCAGAAAGTAATAATTCATGGAGACTGAATACTTTTATAATCCCCACTGCAGTATTTTGTTTGCACTCCACCAGACCACTCTTACATGCCTGTAGTTATGCTTGGTTAGGGTGTATATTATTTTATTTTATTTTATTTTTTTCCCCAACTGTCTATTTTAATCTGTTTTTAACCCATTACATCCACGGACTGCAGGATAAATAGTCCTTGTTTTTCAGTTCATTTCTCTTAAACTCTTAAATTTGGTTTGTGCATTGCTGTTCACCTGTTGTCCCTCTGTCTGTTTCATGGACGCACTGGTGGAACTCGAAACCCTGACTACCTGGACCTGAGGACAGGTCCACAGCCGTTGGGAGTTGGCGGTTCTGTGATGCCCCTCGAGACGACTAAATAAAATGTATTTGATTTGATTTGATACACTGAAATGAAATGTCACAATCACAGGTAGTTACTGTATGGAAGCTTGCAGCATCCATTTTGCTGACAAGCCATCCTCAAAAACACTTTCTCTTTCACAGCTCTGGCGGCGCAGAGTTGGAGGCCTGTTTCCTCCCGTGCCATCTTTCTTGTCCATCTTTGTGAGTAACCTTTACAGCACTCTCTCAGTCATACAGTGCCACCCTGCTCTCTCGTATTCAGGCCTGGTGACATTTCCCAAAGTGTGAAAGCCCTTTATGTTTTTTCCAGTTATAGCTGGACTTGGAGGCATAAAACTAATGTTGCACGCCCCAGAGTGAAGAGAGCAAGATGAAAAAGGTGGAAGAAAGCATTGGAAACACAGAGAGAGAGAGAGAGCAAGAAGTTGAAAGCCATGCCTTCTTTGCAGGTCATTCACTTGACAAGGACTTTGGTCGAAGGGGGCTCTTCCTCGTCATCTCTACATCTAACTCTGCCTCTGTCCAACGAGCTCAACAAAATAAAGATAAATCACCACTGGAAAAAAGAATTAGGGAATATTTCTCCTTTATGCTAGAACGATGAGCCTGTCCATATAGAAAAAGTGATCTATGGATGCTACCGTTCAGATATTAATAACAACCTAATGATGACAAGTCCACTGGCTAATTTAATGCTATGTTGATCATGCATGCACTCACGCAGCCACATACAACTCATTTTCACAATCATAGAGAAACACAATACACACACACACACACACACACAACCAGGACACAACAATTGGCCCCTAATCAGGCAGAGTGATTACCTGGCCCGCCGACACAGCTACAGTTGCTATTTATCAGCAGATCTTGACATGTGGATACACTTGCCGCTGCATAAGAAGTGGCTTAATAAGGGACACACACATCTCTTGGCTGGGGCAAGTCTTAAAGCAACGCTGTTATGAACCATTGTTTATGTTAAAATCAAGAGAATAAAACTAGACCATTGCAGCAGTAAAATATTCTATGAAAAAAAGAACGATCTCATCAGGACTGTTGTGTTGGCAAAGCTAAGGTATAAGAATTGGGTTCCGCCTCCAATGTTTACAAATGTTTTGCCATTGCCTCATTATTTTGTGTAGTTTGTGTCAGGAAGAAAACCATCCACTTTGTTTTAAGACACTTACCGCATCCTCCTCTCCACTGCGACTGGGGCTGCCTTCTGCCTCTCCAAATGAGTCGTCTGTTGGGGGGTCTGTGGCGTCTGTGGGGGGGTCACTGATGTGGGAGGCGGATGACTTTGAGGGAGAGCTCTGTCTGGGAGCTGGGGTGGGAGCTGTGAGGAGAGACTGAGTCAGACGACTGTCCTTATACGTGTGATGTGACAGGGAGAGCATGAGTCTTACGTGAGTTGGTGGATGGCGTGGTGGAGGTGACTGGTGTCAAGTTCATTTGAGAAATGTCGAATTCGTCACAGTCGTCCGTGTCCTGAGCAGTGCCCACACGGCTGAAGTAAGTGCTGAATGCTTCTGAGGTTCCTGCTAAGTTGGGCTGCTCCGACTTCTTCAAGGGCATAGCAGGAGGCTTGGCCAGCTGGAAATCCTGCACAAACAAAGATGACATGTGTTAGTCTTTCTATCTTCATTCCATAAATGTTTATAAAAAGTATGAATGAAACACAAAAATTAAGAATTAAATACACAAGTAAAGTTGCCAAGATATTGTCAGCTTTCAGAGATAAACAAAACAACCTTGAGCTGATTTAGTCTATCACTGTATCCATGGTAACCCTTTGTAAAAGCTCCATTATTAAGCAGAAAAGTCAGCAGATACTACACATTGCACTGTCATGCACCTTGAACATCTCTTTGCCCATCTTCTTTTCCCGGTCCCCATGCTGCGGGCTGGAGGATGCGGATGGAGCCGACGCTGAGAGGCCATCTCCAGCAGGGGTCACTGGAGTGACTGGAGTCAGTGTCTGGAACATGGCTGCAGGCAGCGTGCCCACCGGCTGGGCAGGGAGGTAGGCTGTGGGGTAGGCTCCTGCCGCCATGGCTGCCCACTGCTGCTGTGTGGCAGGGAAAATGTTGGCCTGGCCCCAGATCAGAGGCTGACCCCCAGGCAGAACCTGAGCCACCGGGCCCAGGGGTGACTGCACCCCAAAGGCCAGAGGTGTCTGTGCCCAATGTCCCGGAGGCACCGCCCCCATAGTCACATAACCTGCACACAGAGGATCAGACTGTTTAAACAGGACACAGCAGTAGTTGTGATTACAATCTGAACACAGCACTTTCCTCACACAGATAATAAGCCATGCATCACTGCAGAGTTGCCCTGATTCTGCCTGCAGCTAATGTGCTGTCTCTTAATGGTCACGGTGAACTCTCATAATTACCTCCAGAATGAGCTGCAGTCATTATGTAAAGGCACACTCATTAAAATCACTTCAATACATCAGTGAAGCTTCTTCTGTAACACATTTATTAGTCTGTGTTGCTGTGTGTACCAAGGCTGACATGTCACCTGTGTAGCCCAAGTGTTCAAACATAGAAGTACTTTTGGACATCCTCAATTCACCAGGGGCTGTGCATACTAAAGGCTGCAGTCCTGTGTGTGTGTGTGTGTGTGTGTATCTGTGTGTGTGTTGATTACTTTGCTGTGCAGCAACAGGTAAATCAGCCACATGCCGTTAACTACACATTTCTTATTCCTCACACAGGCAGCACACCTCTCTCTGTCCCTCATCTACATTTCATTTCTATTCTGTCCCTTTGTATTTACCTCCAGCCCTCTCCTTTTCCTAGTCTTCTGCTTGTGCGCCTCTTAAGTCCTTTGACTCTGCCTTCATCTTCGCTCGCGCCCTGCCCTCCCACTGTGCTTGTTTCCCCTCCGCCCACAGCGCTCATGTATTTAAGCAGAAAATGAAAGGGTCCTACCTGAGGGCACAGACGCAGGATTGAAGGGAGAAAACAGTTCGGTGGGGTGCTGCAGGCCTTGGGAGGGGTCCAGGGTGTTGGCTGGAGAAGCAGGCGTCTAAGGAGGAAGGCAAATAAGGATAGGACACAAAGAGGTTGAGCAGCATTTCCAATTCAATATCGTGGGTGTTGTCTTTGCATGTTTGTCTCCATGTTATGCTTTCACTCGTAAAAGGTGTGTTATTGAGGTGGGGGTAAGTATGGCCTCTGAATATCCCTGCTGTTGAGTGCACTGGAATCATTTCGAACTGCATAACAGCATGGAAACCCTGGACGAATTGTTTGCATGGATTTGGGACCAATCACAGAACGGGGAAGAACGGCCCAAACATGATGATGCACTATTTGACAGACGCAAAGTTAGTGTGTATACAAAGCACTTGTGAAGACAAAATTGGGCAGTGAAGCATTTAAGCCCACAGGGAAAAGTCAAACTTGTATTTTAAATGTATCTATTTGGACGAATAAAGTAACCTGGCAAAAGCCAGATTGATGATTGTGTAGAACTCTAACGCGTTCCCCGCGATATCAATCTGGGATTTCTCCCGGAGAATCCTTTCGGGGAAAGGAGGGGTAAGCAGCAGAATACTTGAAGCTGATTGGGCGAAGTGACGCTGTGTGCCCGCCTACCAAGGTTGCCGTCCAGAAATGTACAAAGCGCCTCTCGCTGTTCATCTTTCAAAAAAGAAATTGGAGATTCTGCTAAAACTGACTTTGCGTCCGTCCTCCTGCGTAGCCATGTTTGTTTTGCTTCGGCCCGGCACTTCTTGCTTTCGTCAAACCCGGATATCCCGCCCTAAACCCCCAGACTGGCGCGTGATTGGCTCGCACACCCAGTGGTTCGACTCGAAAAGTGTAAGCGGGAGCGGTACAAGATGTATTCTCGAGTGTTTGTGAACTCACAAATACCGCGAGAATTCAGCTTGCAGGCAAGGTTACAAATAAAGGGTTCTCACTCATTTTGGTCAGGATTGATATATAGGTTATCACTGTATGCGTTTTGTTTTGTTACGCAGCAACAATAACAATTTATAGGAATTATGGAGCTTTTAAGAGCGCTGTGAAATTTAATGATTTGTGCTGCAGCAGCTGAGCACACCCAAAGTAAACATTATGTTGTGTGATTATATTTGCAGATACGAATTGTATTTACATTTACAGAAATAAAGTAATAACAAGTTGCGAGTTGCGGTCTGGAGCTTTGAACAGCTTCTCTGTGATGGGCACAAAGACGGGATCAAAACTCGTCGGACCGGTTTGATAATCCAATCGGATTGAACATTCAAGGTGCCCTGACTTTTCATGGTTTTACACGCACTCAGTGGCACAAAGGGCAGTAATCGTTTGGCACCATTGTGTAAAACTCATCCATCTTTTTCCCTTTAATTTCTATTGCTCTGCATAGTATGTCATTGGGTTGAATGGATCATCGTAATGTTAAGAAAGATTGCTATTAGATATTTTGCCAAATTAGTGCTGAACATTGCTCAATCTTCTAAAATAGAATTAAGAAAATGTTAAAATCATCATGAAAAGGACAGTACAACAAAAAATATGCCTGTAATAGGTGGAATTGCAAACAATAAACTACAGTTTTACTCACAGATGGAGAAGTGATGTCAGGAGGCGTGGACATATCTCCAAAAATCTCTAACTGGTTGATGTTCTGAAAATCAAAAATCACTTTTTTAAAACGAAACAAACAATCGTTTTCTCAGACTGTATTAGTTTGATTCCAGTGCATCATGCTTTCACACAGCATGCAAAACAGGTATAATTATGGCACCTACCTGAGCTCCGAGCGCCACACTGACAGAAAAGGGAAGGATGGGAACAGATGGGATAATGAGGTGAAATGATTGATAAGGATGACATACCTACCACCGCCTTTGACAGCTGCCACAGACAAAAGTGTTTCCCTAACTAGCAGCTGACATCAGAACATACACGCACACCCCCAGCATCATTATAGTAGCAGTGTGTTGCCCTGGACCAGTCCTTACTGCCCCCTCTCTGTGCTATCAAAGCCAGCAGGAGCCTGTCTGTAATGTTGGCTTACCTTTCACAATCTCCCCATGCACTTCTCCTCTTAGCGCTTTAATAGTACATTTAAGGCAGCTGAAAGCGGATAGAATTCTTTATAGTTGATGAAGGAATCTCAGGCCTTGGATATGTGGTCATAGATTTGCATAAATGGTGGAGCATACCATTTCTCTTGCAGATAATGAATGTTCCAAAGATAAAGTTTAGCCGTGTGTGTCTGAAGGGAGTTCGCCTTTATCGGAAAATTGTGTTTTTGCAATAAGTGAGATGCGTATAGAATTACTGTGTCAATCATTCCTTCAATAGAACCTTGATTGATAATGGTTTTTGTATACGAGAACAGCAAAATAGTATCAATCACAAATGACAAAATATAATACTTATCGACTCCCACCCTGAATCAATACTAAACTTGAACTTATAGGCGCATTATGCAACTGTTTAGTTTAGTTTACATTTTTGTGCATCTGCCGCAGTGGCTGTAAGAGCAGGCTGTTGATCACGGATGTGTCTACAGGGCTCCAGGATCAGATGTTTTATAAGTTTTCTGGTGCGAGGGCCCCTCAATAGAGAAAACCTTCCAAACAGTTGAGGCCTAAAAACCTTTTAATACGCTTTTAATTCTTTCACACTTTTTGATATTTGATGCGCCTTCTTCATTAGTAGCCTTTCTTTTGATTGTTGTATTGTATTTTAATCTGTAATCCTTTAAGGTTTTGTGGAAATGTCATGTACCTGTACATTATCAAGAAACTCATCTTCAAACATTTGAACAAAGTTGGACATTTATAGACTTTCTGTCCAGTTTGGGACTTGTTCTTCTGTGGGTGTGTGGTAAGGTCAGGCTAAGAGAGATTATGAATGCTTTATTAATGCTCTGAGACGTCTGAGACAGAGGTAAGATGGCTGCCACACTGACTTTGGCCTCACGACCTGAAACCTTGTCTCTGACAGCTTCCTACGTGATGCTGAAGTTCACTGCACTTTCATTCTCCTCATTGCCTCAAACAGCTAAAGCAAAATTATTTATGAACCGGCTCAAGTTGTTAATGAGAATATTTAAAAAAGAAATGGAGTGTGGAAAAGTCTACTTTTACCAACTTCAAAACCGTGTTATCACAATGACTTCTTGTCATAAAGTTGAATTTTGACCACATTTCAACCTCCTACAGGGGGTGATGTCTACACCAAGGTTTATCTTTGTCTGTTGGAAAGAGAACTCAAAATATTTTGGACAGATATTTTCAGGAAACCTCGGAATCAGGACAAGGAATTGGATTACATTTTTGAGGTTGTGACTTGGATCACTGCCTGGATCCAGGATTTTTTTAAAGGAACAGAACTGTGCCTCTTGGCAGAGGTCTGTGCTCTTCGAGTGCTTATCTCGTCTGAACACGTGATTATTAAAAACATACTTGTATATCGGCTTCAACACATAAACATTATATAACTGAAAATAGATCTGTCCTTTTCAAAAGGACCTCTGGGCGGCAGTCGAAAACTTAGTCCTTCTGAAAACTAGTGATACTTTTATTTGCAACGGTCACGTGTGGGATTAAATGTGCAAATACACATCTGCACAACAACAGGATGAATTACAACAATCTGATCAGCACTTCTGAGCAGGAAGTCACTGAACCTGTTTCTTTTATTAACCATTTTAATCAATACGGCAAATAAAGTGAACAAAAATAAATATATATAAATATTTATATTTGGTATATTTTAGAAACATATTTCTCAAAATTGTAAATATAAGCCCTCTCACCTAAAATAATAAAAAACATGCACATTGAATGTTCATTAATTGTGTGTTTCATTGCGGTAGGTATGCGGTACATCTTTGTGTACTCGTATAAAACGCGCCGCTGCCCTTTCAGAGGAGATCTCTTGGTTACTATGGCAGCAAGGTGTGCATGTTTAATTCATGAAACGCAGGGTCAAGAGTCAGTCTGACCCTCGACTAAAGGAGTACAAGAGAGGAACAGCTAAGGACGAAGACACAAGCGACCTGCGCACCTGCCTGCTGGCTTTGTATATGTCAACTTCAAATCAATACATATCTTATATATCTGTAACAATCATGTTTAGAATCCATAACTATCATGTTTAGAATCCAAACGGGACAATCCAAAATAGAATAAACATAAAAGCATATTCAATCTTTTATAAATGACTGTTTTAACTGTTTGATTTTCTAGTTTGTTATTTGTAAGTGCATAGGCAGTGTTCATATTTTGCTTGTGTGTGTTTTACTGTATACTGTGTCTACTACCTATACATCTATCTTTGACCACAGAAATTACTCCTGTCCACAGGGGCCCTTACCTGCGTCACTGAATCCAGGTCAAAGACTATGAGATCAGCTGCTGTCTGTGGCTCGGGTGATGGAGTCTCATGGAAAAGTGGAGTTTGAGGCGGATGAAGATGATGATTATGATGATGGGTGGTTTGATGTCCGTTCTGCAAACACAGCCTTAGTATTAGATATTAGATGAGATCTAATCAATATGTGAGGACTTCATCTTATTGTTGCATGAATATTGATAAGTCATAGACCGGAGTGTGCTGACGTCTCCCTTGTGTTTGCCTTATCCCAGAAGAAACCAATTAGAGCTAACACAAACAGGCTGAATACTGAAGAATTTTGGGCATCAACCAAGTACTACTTACAAACCAAAGCCATATTTGGGGATAGAAGTCACCGGATTGGTCAGTTATAAGGAGTCATATATCTAGATTTACAAAGAAGTCATCAGATTAAAACAACAGGCACATACAGAGCGTCAAACCACTCCTTTTTAAGCCTAAAATGAGTGCTGCAAGGTTCATGTTTCAATGAAAGTGAATGGGAGCCAAAGTGAGTTGGAGCTTCACTTATGAGTACTTCCCTGTTAGACTTAATCAAGCTAGCGTTTTAGCACTGTCCAACCTTATATTATATGGATATGGATGAACTAAGTATTTATCCAGAATAAACATGTCTATATAAAAGCCGGACATACAACCGTCAAATCCACCACCTGCAGATCATGGAAATGTCCTACAGTATGGCAGTAAGTCAAGCTGGCACGCCATACAGACTGAGCGGCAGGTTTAAAGCGGCAGGTTGATTCCATTTCTTCTTGTATAGCCCTAAATCTCAACAGTAGTTAGAGTAGTTGAATTCGCCAACACAGATAAGAGAATCAAACCGTTCAAAACACAAGAAATAAAACAGAAAAACACATTAGTTTTGGTCCATAAGAGGCATATGACCAACGTCCATAAGTGTTGATAAATGTCTATAATCAGTGTCTTTCGGGGACACGGTGGAACATACCAAACAAAGAAACACCTCTATGAAGATAAGGTTATTTATAATGCAAACAGGGCACAACAAAACATTGACTTGAATTGATTATTTGAGTGAAGAAAATGCCCCATGTGCCACTGCTTGGGAACTGCGGCAGATAAGTGGAATGGTAGGCCTACTCTCACAATCGAGTTCGAACCTTGTTTCCAGATTTAGAGGCCGAGAGAAGCTTTTAAAGGGTTTATGCCTCATCCCTACCTTTGGTCTCAAACTTGAGCAGAGAACAGCTTTAAACCCTTTGTGTTTTTGTAAAGCCTGCTCCCCAGTGTCACACAGAGGAAACCACCGGGCATAGAGCCGGATTAAGAAAGACACAGGCGGAAAGAGCAATGTGGAAGAGCATGGAGTGCAAGTATCTACTTTTCGGTTACTATGGGCTTTCATCAGAGGAACGCTTTTAAGGCTAATTTAAATTTTCCATGCGCTTCACTGTGACGCGCAAAGGTTTAGAGAATCATCACCAAAGGAATACACACGTTTACATAAGATGGATAAAAGTTTAGTTCACAAAGTATGGGAAAAGTCAGAGCTGTACTCAATATGCTTCTCAAAACACAACGCGGGAAATAGAGAAAAGACACTAAAATGCTACATCCAACTGAGTTTTTCTTCTTACCCTTTCTACACAATAACGCACTGCAGTATCTCCAATGGAAACTGAAAACTATGAAGCATGGCTGTCATTAGCTGTAGTCCATAACAATAAGCACTGGACCAATATTACAGCGGTGTTTCTCGTTTGTCTTATGGATCCAGATGTTGGGGAAACACAGCTGCAAAAAAATGTAGCCATAATAAAACAAAACAATCAGCAAGAAACACAAAGCCATTCGTTTTATTGGTAATTAGGGCTGTAACATGGCATAATCACAAGTAGTCGATCAGTGCCGGACTTAGATAGACCTAAACCTTTCGAGAAGAGGTTTCATGACCAATTCGTAACAAGGCTTTCACTTGCGCTTTGATTTTGGTCCAATATATTAACAAAAACTCCCCCCTGGACTGCCACCTTAACGTGGTGGGGGAGTTTGAGTACTCGGATGATCCTGGGAGCTATGCTGTCTGGGGCTTCATGCCCCTGGTAGGGCCTCCCATGGCAGACAGGTCTCAGGTGACGAGTCAGACAAAGAGCAGTCCAGAAGACACCATGGACAGCACTAACACGAAAACAGTGACGTCGCCCGGCATGGCGCAGCCGGGGCCCCACCCTGGAGCCAGGCCTGGGGTCGGGGCCCGTATGCGAGCGCCTGGTGGCCGGGCCTTAGCCCACGGGGCCCGGCCGGGCTCAGCCCGAAGGGATGACGTGGGCAGTCCCTCCTGTGGGCCCACCACCTGCAGAGGGGTCCGTGGTGAAGCGGTGCAGAGAGGACTGGGCGGCAGTCGAAGGCGGAGACCTCGGCGACCCAGTCCGCACACACAACATCTGGCTCTTGGGACGTGGAACGTCACCTCACTGGGGGGGAAGGAGCCCGAGCTCGTGGGGGAGGTTGAGCGATACCGACTAGAGATAGTCGGCCTCACCTCCACACACAGCTTGGGCTCTGGAACCCAACTCCTTGAGAGGGGTTGGACGCTCCACTTTTCTGGAGTTTCCCACGGGGAGAGGCGGCGAGCTGGGGTGGCCATACTCATTGCCCCCCATCTCAGTCGCCACGTGTTGGAGTTCTCCCCGGTGAATGAGAGGGTCGCGTCCCTCCGCCTCCGGGTGGGGGACAAGTCTCTCATTGTTGTGACGGCCTACGGGCCTAACAGCAGTGTAGAGTACCCGGCCTTCTTGGAGTCCTTGGGAGGGGTACTGGACGGTGCACCGCCCGGGGACTCCGTTATTCTCCTGGGGGACTTCAACGCCCATGTGGGAAACGCCGGTGACACTTGGAGAGGGATGATCGGGAAGAGCGGCCCCCCTGATCTGAACCCGAGCGGTGCTCAGTTGTTGGACTTCTGTGCCAGTCGCGGTTTGTCCATCACGAACACCATGTTCGAGCACAAGGGTGTCCACCAGTGCACGTGGCACCAGGACACCCAAGGCCGGAGGTCGATGATCGACTTTGTTGTCGTATCATCTGACCTTCGACCGCGTGTCTCGGACACTCGGGTAAAGAGAGGGGCGGAGCTGTCAACCGATCATCACCTGGTCGTGAGTTGGACCCGCTGGCAGGGGAAGAAGCCGGTCAGACCTGGCAGACCCAAGCGTATAGTGAGGGTCTGCTGGGAACGTCTCGCTGAGCCCCCTGTCAGACGGACTTTCAACTCACACCTCCGGGAGAGCTTCTCCCAGGTCCCGGCGGAGGAGGGGGACATGGAGTCCGAGTGGACCATGTTCTCTGCCTCAATCGCCGATGCGGCGGCTCGTAGCTGTGGTCGCAAGGTCTCTGGTGCTGGTCCCGGCGGCAACCCCCGAACCCGGTGGTGGACACCGGCAGTAAGGGATGCTGTCAGGCTGAAGAAGGAGTCCTATCGAGCCATGATGGTTCGGGGGACTCCTGAGGCAGCTGTCCAGTACCGGCAGGCCAAGCGTGCCGCGGCCCGGGCTGTTGCAGAGGCAAAAACCCGGGACTGGGAGGAGTTCGGAGAGTCCATGGAGCATGACTATCGGTCGGCCTCGAAGAGATTCTGGCAAACCATCCGGCGCCTCAGGAGGGGGAAGCAGTTCTTTGCCAACACCATGTACGGTGCGGGTGGAGAGCTGCTGACCTCGACTGGGGATATTGTCGGGCGGTGGAAGGAATACTTTGAGGTTCTCCTCAATCCCCCCGTCACGTCCTCTGTTACAGAGGCAGAGGCTGAGGATGTTGGGGTGGGTACATCCATCTCCCTGGCTGAGGTCACCAAGGTGGTTGGTAGCCTCCATGGTGGCAAGGCTCCGGGTGTGGATGAGATCCGCCCTGATTATCTAAAGTCTCTGGATGTTGTAGGACTGTCTTGGCTGACACGTCTCTGCAACATCGCGTGGCGATCGGGGGCAGTGCCAATGGAGTGGCAGACCGGGGTGGTGGTCCCTCTCTACAAGAAGGGGGACCGGAGGGTGTGTTCCAATTATCGTGGGATCACACTCCTCAGCCTCCCCGGTAAGGTCTACTCCAAGGTACTGGAGAGGAGGTTACGGCCGATGGTCGAATCTCGGATCCAGGAGGAGCAGTGTGGTTTTCGTCCCGGTCGCGGAACACTGGACCAGCTCTATACTCTCCATCGGATACTCGAGGGTTCATGGGAGTTCGCCCAACCTGTCCACATGTGCTTTGTGGATTTGGAGAAGGCGTTCGACTGTGTTCCCCGGGGTGTCCTTTGGGGGGTTCTCCGGGAGTACGGGGTCGGAGGTCCTCTGCTGAGGGCCATCCGATCCCTGTATGACCGGAACCAGAGCTGTGTTCGCATTGCCGGCAGTAAGTCAGACCTGTTCCCGGTGAATGTTGGCCTCCGACAGGGCTGCCCTTTGTCACCGGTTCTGTTCACTGTATTTATGGACAGAATATCTAGGCGCAGCCAGGGGTCGGAGGGGGTCCGGTTCGGAGACCACAGGATTTCATCTCTGCTGTTTGCGGACGATGTTGTCCTGTTGGCTCCAACGAACCAGGACCTGCAGCATGCACTGGGACGGTTTGCAGCCGAGTGTGAAGCGGCTGGGAAGAGAATCAGCACCTCCAAATCCGAGGCCATGGTGCTCGACCGGAAAAAGGTGCCTTGCCCTCTGCAGGTGGGTGGAGAGGTCCTTCCTCAAGTGGAGGAGTTCAAGTATCTCGGGGTCTTGTTCACGAGTGAGGGAAGAATGGAGCGTGAGATTGACAGGCGGATCGGTGCAGCGTGCGCAGTTATGCGGTCGCTGTATCGGACCGTTGTGGTGAAGAGGGAGCTGAGCCGAAAGGCAAAGCTCTCAATTTACCGGTCAATCTTCGTTCCCTCCCTCACCTATGGTCATGAGCTTTGGGTAATGACCGAAAGAACGAGATCGCGGATACAAGCGGTCGAAATGAGCTTCCTCCGCAGAGTGGCTGGGCGCTCCCTTAGAGATAGGGTGAGGAGCTCAGTCACACGGGAGGAGCTCGGAGTAGAACCGCTGCTTCTCCACGTCGAGAGGAACCAGTTGAGGTGGCTCGGGCATCTGTTCCGGATGCTTCCTGGACGCCTCCCTGGGGAGGTGTTCCGGGCACGCCCCACCGGGAGGAGGCCCCGCGGAAGACCCAGGACACGCTGGAGGGACTATGTCTCTCAGCTGGCCTGGGAACGCCTTGGGGTCCCCCCGGACGAGCTGGAGGAAGTGTGTGTGGATAGGGAAGTCTGGGCGTCTCTGCTTAGACTGCTGCCCCCGCGACCCGGCAACGGATAAAGCGGAAGAAAATGGATGGATGGATGGATATTAACAAAAGCATGACCTTTCAGAATCTAAAGAACTAATTGTTCAATATCCAACCGTTAATTATAGCCCTGTTCTTAATCATTCTCTCACGATTCACAGTATGTATCTTTTTCTGTTTTCCTGCCAATTACGGCGGCATGGCTATTACACTGCTCACTTCTTTATCAATATGGAGGCTGCCTATCTATTAGCGGGCTCCAGGGAAACAGTAATTACCTGTGCACATGTGTTCTGCATACTATTAAGCCGGACCCCTTAATTAATGCCACCTCGTCAATCTCCCGCCATGCGATGGATGGAATTGGCACGCGACAAAAACAACAGCAAGAGTGGCACGCAAAAGGTGTGTTTGTGCCAGTACACGGTCAATGAGGTAAGTGGCACGGTCTCCTCTGGCATGGATTACAAAGACCTGTGTACTTTCTCTGGGATCTCCAATGCAAGTCTCTGCCTCTTTGAATTTCTTCTCTATCATTTTGTCCAGGCTTTGGTCTGAAACAGATTGCAGGATTGTGCAATTTATATGATTTTAATAGTAATGGCAATAACTAATACTTATATATTCGGAAATGTGTTATGCAATTTAAACAATTATGCCGCTAAATGGTACTTATTCCGCCCCACTAGACACAGAGCCACTTCTCTAAAAGAAATAAATTAGGCTTTTGAAACACAAATGACAAAACATCACTAATAAAACTATGAATAATAGTTTCAAATGCTTTTTTTATAACCCATATTCATGTGATTCCTTAATATGTATACCAAGTGTGATAGGATGTTCTTGCATAGTTTTACAGTTTTTCCTATGATCTCTTTTTGTCTAAATAAATGTGTTTAAATAATAATTTGGAGTATTTCTGTCTAAGGCACAGGATTAATCCAGAGCAGCAGAGGCGTAGCATGTGGCCCAGTTGTGCTTGGCTGCTCAGTGGTAATGTGTTGACCTCTTCATGTGCACCGGGCCAGCATTGACTTAACACACTCACATTTCTCACAGGGTCAAGGGCTTACGGAGGATTGAAATGGCCTCATGTTAGTATTTTATTGACCTGTGGAGTTGATGGACACGCTGACAGCAAACAACAGGAGACATGAGGTCATAGATCTGCCACCGATCATGTCATTAAGATGTATAGACGCACAGTGGGGGTCTACCCAGCAAATCAACAAGGCACGACTGCTGCTGCACAATAAGTATATGTAGAGCCAACCAAGGCCAGGAATAGAACAACACATATTTGCTTATTGATATTTATGGTCGCAGAATCTAAACATTTTTGTCCTTTTTCGAAACAACCAAATCACAAAATCCCTCACCATGTATGCACGTATGAAAACTTTCAGAGACCAGAGCCTTTGGTATTAGCTTTGTCTTGTCTTACTGTCATGACAAAGCTATACCATGTAGCATGCTAAATAGGGGGAACTTATGGAGACAGTGCATAGTTTTGACCTCATAGTGCGGGGTTACGCACTATTGAGAAAAAAAAAAAAAGGTTTGAGTTTGAAATTTGAAAAGGTTAATCTGGTTTTCCTGGAGCGCATGTAAACATTTACCCCAGCAATGTGCTGTGAGATGTTGTATAACATGAATGTCTCTAATCCATCTGTATTCCCTAAACCTTGGCTGTATTCACTGCTCCTGACTGGCTGAAAGGCAGAAAAGACTTGAATTCTGGTTGCACAACAAGAGAGAAACATTGGATTTGTTCACATGCAGGCACCTGCCAACATGAAGGCAATCCAAATAGCAGCATGTGTCGGCAGAGATGAGCACACACATACTATGGTGTGTCTAAGCTCCCTACCAAAGCCTGGGATCAAATGCACTTGGATATTGTGAGGCTGATTTCCAGTGCACCCAATGCACTGGGAGTGTGAGCCAGCCGCGATGCGAGAGTCCACTCGATGCCTACAGATTCAACACTCTCTGCAGAGAAACGGGGCTAAAGAATGTAGGCCATGGAAGAAATCTACTACACCAAAGTGAAAAGCAGAGTTGAAACATTTCCAGCACTGCATGTCTGCATGACCACATGTGTTGTATACAGGTACTATAGAAGTTGGCATCTACCCCACTGTCATAAGCAAAGCTCAACTGTGTGTGGGACCTGAACGTGGTGTGAGTTGATGGTTGAATGGCTTTTTGAGCAGTAAAACAACTTGACGTGTTTTCAACAGAGGTTTTTTTTTTCTTTTAACATCAATGGAAAATCACATTGCTTGAATGATCCATTACTTCCACTAGGGGTGACATAATGTTTGGGGAAATGCGCATCAGATCTAGGTCTACTCTACATGTGCAAACCAACGGGGGCCAATACAGGACAATATCAGCAACAGCACGTCTTGTGTGTAGCCTTTAGAGTACACAGTCATCGCTTTAGACCTGTAAAAATGTGAAATGTCCTCACTGTCTGAACTCGCTACACTTTGGGGGGAATAAAGGTTTCTTATCTACACTTTGACGCTAAAATGCTGTATTTATTGCCAATGAATAAAATAAAGTGCACACGAGCTCCTCCTGCAGCGTGGGAGGGAGGACTGCAGTTGTTCCTATATGTCCCTGTTCAGCCCATGTCTTTATTGGCAGATGGATGTACTGAGTTATAGGGCTGTCTGTCTGCAGGCAAGGTCACTCCATTAGAACCAATGTAGGAGGCGCCAGAGAAGAGCAGATAAAAGGCATTAATGTCCCCCTCGGTGATATGTATGAGGAGGTGAAGGACGATCTGAGATTCACACATGCACAGATCCGATACAGAACCATAACATGCTCCAAGCTTCAAATACGCAAGAAGAACACATAAACAGAGACCAGACAGCTTGTGCAAATATATTTAAAAAAAAAAAACAATTACTGGAAACAGAGGTGGAAGTAAGCTAAAGATGTACATTTGTGCTAAGAGTGCATTTGTTTATGTACATTCTTTATGTTAGTTAAATCTGGAGTAATCTAACTTTCAATCTAACTCTCCAAACTCGCACTTTTTTTCAATTGCATGTATTTATTCCCCCGTTGTCACATCTTTAGATCAGCTTTATTAAACTTGAGAGTGAAAATCAGAGGACCACTCTCACTCAGATCTCAGCCCAAATGGTGACACAATAATCACAGGGCTCTTTCTTACAAGTGGCAAAAAGAAAAAGTGCTTTCTAATAAGATGAAGGAAGCGTGTTACGGTCTGATTTGCTTGCAACATTTTACTCTTTCAGTTGGGACAATCACAGTCCAAACATGAAGAGAAAAAAAGCACTCCAGCTTTAAGTACATAATGTCACGTCTAATTCCACCTCTGTTCAAAAACACACCAGCAACCACTTCAGAGGATATCAGGAGCCCAGGAGTAGCACAACACACTGCACAGAGCACTGGGTCTCAACAAACCTCTCAGGGATAAGCACGAATGATGCAAAAGACCAGAGATTCCCTGCAAATTGACTCCACACAGGATTCTCACCGCTTGATCGGGGAGATATTGCAGTACATCAGTGGCAGAGTGGGGTGGGGCGGCCCTGAGAGGTTTGGGTGAGAGGGGAGGCAGGCAGTGGGGATGGAACAGGCAAACACACACACACACACACTGGTGTCACTCACTGGGTGTCGCTTTGGAACATCATAGACCCCTTCCTTCTGCTGACTGGTGGGAACCTACAGCGTCCACCAATGAGGGCACAGAACAGCCACAACAGCCCCGTTATACAAACCGACTTTCAGTCACACTTCAGTCCATCTTACACTGCAAACGTTACTGAGTCATATTTATTCTGCTATATTACAGGTGAAATATGTCTATATGAGATATTACTGCACTGATAAATAGTCTATTGTGTGTACTTTGTGCACTTGTATATAGTAGTAATTTTAATAAATGTCATGTAGATCTTTTAATTCTTTATGCCTGCTTATTCTATTTTTAATTTTATAACTTGTTTGCGCCGAAGCAATTTCCTAGTTTGTGACTTCCTGTTACAATGGCAATACAAATAATTGTGATTCTGATTCTGATCATGGCAGCAATGGGTAAAAAAGAAAAAGCTGAAATTCAGAGATTGAGTTGTAAGTTATATGTTAATAACTGATAAACATAACCTAAAGGGTTTTATTCCAAAAATGAATGTAAAATAGATAACAGTATTGTATTGCATTCCTAAAGAATTGTAAGAGACAGAGGAATATTAAAATCAATAAGAAAAAAAACGATTGTTCTTATTCTTAATTAAACATTTTACATAGTTGAGTCTACATACAGTGTTCTTTTTTATTGAAATGAGCTGGCCCCTTTCAGGTATTTATGAACACATGGCTACAGACTGTGGCTTCTCCCACCACCATCACACGTTCAAATCAGTGCAGCTCTGAGAATCATGAGCCGATCCATCACATCTGTGTGTCTCATATGAGCATCTATGACGGCGTGTGGGCAAAGTCATAATCACAATTAAAATCTGTGGAGTGCGTTGGGCTCCAGCTAATCAAGAAGCACCATCAGCCTCCAACCAGCCTCTCTGCTCCCCTTTTCCTAATAAAGAATGGATAAGGGCGCTAATCTCCAGCACAGACATGTAATAACTCAGATTGTCACATATGTGACGGCATGTAATATCTCTATGTCACACAGAGACTCGACAGCACACAAATTGAAAAGAAAGTGATCTCAAAAGGCATTGTGAGGATTTCGGTTGACTTAGTAAATTCATTCGGAAGCTTACACTGGCTTCAATAGTAAGTATAAGCAAGCTCCTCCAAATTGAATTATATAGGCAATTGCATAGATGATCAATGCAGCATTTTAGGGTCCAATTGCAAAAACTAAATCTAAAAACGTCAATCATTGAGTATAGCACAAGAAGACTGGGAAAAGAAAACGCAAGCTTGTCCTGTTCTGGAGGCTCCTCTCGAGGCCTTGTTTACTTCTTTCACATGTTTATTTCCAGAAGCTGCCATCTTTATTCATACATTGGTTCCTCTGTGGCTGGAGGCTGGCTCAGGCTCATGTTCCCTGGGCCGGATGGGGGTTTCTCTTCAGTGTGAGCGAGCGTGCTCAGAGAAGCTGTATACGCACATGCACACTAGCGCTCCACTATTTTCAATCCATTTTATTTAAAGATCAAACGAGAGGCTGGTGATTAATCTTTCTTTGCCTGGCTTTCTTTCATCTCCTAGAGAAAAAAAAGAGGAGGGGAGTGCGGGAATTAGAGGCGGGGGTCTCTGCATCCACACGGGCCAAGAATAACCTCCTGCTTTGTGGGGAGTGCACCCAGAGAACAGGCCCTCTCTCCTGGGGCATTGGTGCGAGCCCGGCCCAGAGCCTCACAGCTGGTTGAGTCTCACGTAGCTTGGGTTTTGCTCAGGAAAATGGCAATATCACCCGATCATAAGCGGAGTGTGAAGTCTACGGGGGAAATTTATCAATCCAGGCGCTAAACGGAGCATACCATGAACAATTTATTGCACATGATATCTTTTTTGGGATGTGCTGGTGTTATTCCTGATGCTATTGTGGAATATGAAGCAAAACATCACATTCAACTTGTGAATGAGCTGAATTATTTCAAAACTAAACGGAAGGAGAGGCCAATAGTGTGGTTTTTCTGCCTCTATCTTTTGCCTATATCTTTGACCTCTTGCCTTGAGTTTGGTTGAGTTTAAAACATGATATATGTGACTAAAAGTGACTCTTTAGAACAGGGGTGCTCACACTTTTTCAGCATGCGAGCTACTTATAAAAGGATCAAGTCAAAAGGATCTACCTACTACAAAAATGCAAATCATATATTTCAAAAAATATTCTTTATATCTACAATGTATGTTTATGTACATGCAAAACCGCATGAGCCAATATAGCACAACACAATTACCTATGTACATTTGTCATTACCCGAGTTTACTCTGATGACTTGCACTGAACTGAATCGGCCAGGGATGCATAGTCCGGAAAATTGGTGGCAACTCGCTGACAAGTTTATCGTGGTTTAGCTTTCCTGCACTGAGCGCGGTTGTTTGCGCATGTGCAGTCACCTAAGTGTCAGTAAAACATTACTGAGTAAAACACAGATGTCATTTGACTGTGGTGCCATGTCCATGTGCCATGCCTGGTTTTTTTAAATCCAAATATTTCCCCTCCTCAGTTTATACAATAATTTGCATCTACACATCTGCGTTATCAATCACATTCGTAACATTCCAAACATGTGCGTCTCTTACGTCCTGTCCTGCGTTGGGGAAAAACACAGAAGTGGGCGGAGCTTTGATGCAGACGCCGGTAACGGCACTTTTACAGTCATAGAAGACACTCAGAGTAAAGAGTAAGACGTATGTTTACAAGCACTGACCCCGTCCTCAGCCCTGGTTTAGTCCTGGTTTAGTCCTGGTTTGGTTGTTTTCGAGCGTGAGTCCCCGCGATCACTTTGCTGCTCTCTGATGTGGAGCGAGGATGTTCACTGCTGCGAGCATCTCACAGCGAACAGTTTTTAAGGTAGTATGATCCATGCTTCAGTGATCAGAGGAATTTAGGGGGGTACTGTGGCGTGCGAGAACGCAAAACTCCGGTTATCTCTGTCTACACACAAATGCATTAACGGAGTTTTCAAAAATCTCCACTTTGCCCGGAGTTTTTTGTATATATTTGTTTAGAATGTGTAATTTTTTATTTATTTAATGCGATCTACCAATACTACCTTTGCGATCGACTGGTAGATCGCGATCGACGTATTGAGCACCCCTGCTTTAGAATGATCGTATTGATTAGATATTATACTACAAAACTGAGGTTGCGAACCTGGATGTATTCACTTTTCTTGTTTGTTATATATTCGACAGTGCATGCTTTCGTATTATTGTTTAATATACTTGTATGATTGAAAAAGAAAAAATACAAACAGCAAAAACCAAACAAACAAAGAAAAAAAATATGGGAATACCTGATATATGCTCTCTTCTGATTGGTCACGGATGGATTCGTGTCCCGCCTCAAAGACAATGTACTACAAGAATGCCAGCGGAGGGAGGAGAGAAATTCAAAGAGACTGAGAGAACAGTCGAGAGTTGCAGAGGTGATTAGTCAAACATTTAGCTTCTTTAGTAGCAGAAGAATAGCTCCTAGTGTCACAGAGAGGAAGTTAAAAGAAATCCATGCACTAACAGGCTAACGGCATGCATACAGACACAACATCCACCCTGGACTCACACATATCGCTGTGTCACACCCAAACAGGGGCTGCTGTCTCCCCCCAGTGCACACACAGAGCTCTAGCTGAAGCAACCGTTGTTACCTGGTACACAGGGTCCTCCAAGTCGTCCTCCAATATCGTCTACAGAAGCCAAGATCAAGTAAGAAGACAGACAAAAGAAGCAAGTTGAGAGAATGGGCCGGAGCTTTGATGTTTCACAGGATTTTTATAATTATTTGGCAATCATTAGGATAGGATTGGAGACAACGAAAGCGGTTGCCAGAACAAAGCCAAAAGATGTAAAAAGAAAGGACAGATGGCGGCGCTGATCTGAGTTTAAAGTGCAGAGCAAGGTCTTTGATAACTTTTGGAGTAGCACTTGACTATGATGCATCAGCACTATGAGTTTCCTTCTATATGAATTGTACTGTTAACAGAGTTCATTGTGATTCATTTTTTCTTTATAAATTTGATGTTATACCTCATCGAGAAAACTCTCAGAATATCGAAAAAAAAATAATAATAATCATAATGAGCTGCAATTTTTGTATCATACCCAAACCTCACATGTTCTGTGTATATAATTTTTGTCATCTTTGATTTCTAAATGAGTATCTATTTTCAATAATAAAATAGTATTGTTTAATATTCAATTTTCAATATTTCACAACGCCAATGAAGTGTGACATTCAAATAAACTTGCCTTGGCTGCCTATTGTTCGAGGGGGTTATGGGAGTGATTGACAAACCTGGTAGACGGCCTGCTCACACTGCTTGTCCTTCTGAGCCTTCTTCTCCACCTCCTCCCGCTGCTTTATCTCATAGATGAGCTGGAACAGGTCCCGCAGGTCCAGGATGACGGGCTCGGCCTGAGAGGGAAACACAACCAGGCCTTTAAAGGACTTTCTTATCTCTTTACACATCGCTAAAGAGACACACTTTATCTTCAAGTCAAACACTTTGAAAGAGGAAAAGCGAGTGTGTCTAGAATGTGTCCGTGTGTGTGTGTGTATGCGTATGTGTGTGTGCGTGAGAGTATGCACATTTGTGTGTGTGAATATATTGCAGTGGATGGTGGGACCAAAGAGACAGATTTGTTTCCTTACTTCTCTCAGTCTGCCCCATGACAGCTGTGGCTACAGCAGTTTACCACTACAGTAAATGAATAATATAATGAGAAATTTCTTTGTGTTTCTAATATTATCATATTCTTGCCTTTTCTGAGCTCCTAATTCTCAAATCCTGTGTTCGTTGATAAATGTGCTTTAGTTTTGTGATATACTTGTTGTCATACTAATGGCAACATAAACAAGATGGGTATTCCAGTGTGTGTGTCAATTACACAAAATGTAAGTAAAACACCCAAATAGTTTCATACCCTAAAGAAGGAAAAGTGGGTGCAATGGTGTTTTGTACAAATAAGTACAAATGTCTTGAGTTTATTGCTACTGAAGCTATCAGCTCTCCCACCTCTGGCAACTTCCACAAACACAAGTGCTATATTTTCAGCTGAGGATGAGTCAAAGACAGAGGAGACTCAACAGGACTGAGGCATGGAAATAAAGACTAAAGGGATAAACAGCTTCAGCAGAAGATTCTCAAAAACCCTCTCATAATGGTGGATATAAATACAAATATGTGAAAAAACCAAGGGCTGTTGTCTGTAGCCTGAAGCATTTCGAACCGTTTGACAATAAGCTGCTTTTGGAATGAAATGTATTGCCACATGTAAAACTAAACCAAGTGTTAGTACGTGACTTAAATTTAAAGCAATGACAACAAAGTTCTTCTACAAAGATGTTAGAACAATAGTTGCTGGAAGCTCATCAAAAACACTCTGCATGTGTAGAAAACATGTCTGATTCTGGTCTAGTGCTGTTGGGAGCAGACTGGACACTGCAAACCCTTCTTGTCAGAGGAGCAGGAGTCAGTGACGCACTGCACTTGTAACAACTGCCACACAGTGGAGTGCAAGACATGATCAATTATTGACTGATGCACGCAAAGTGCATGTGGAGTTCACACACAACCTGCTGCCGTGCACAAGGCAGAGCTATTTTAAACTCTTTCTTCAAGTTCCCAGAGCACATTCACTGATACCCACAGTTTGGGGAGAGCAGAGCTCCTACTGAGACAACACACAAGTACATTGTCACTACATCACACTGGGGGACTCTGCAAAGGACAATGTATAGTCTCATCTCAAAAGCACCCTTTCTGACATGGAAAGACGAGTGGGAACAGACAGAGCTGAGATAAAGCAGATTCAACATAGTTTTACAACAACAAAAAAGCAGCTATACACATTTTCACTGAACTTCAATTAATTAATTGCTGACAAGGATTTTTTTAACTAAAGGGGATGGCTTTCATGTGCATACTTAAAATGTAGGTTGCAAAACTGCATTTTCAATGTTGATGGATCTGCTTTAGCTTGCAGCAAGACATTAGAAACATAATTGTACTGTAATGGACTTGGAGAGACGATAAGTAAATGTAATCAATGGCAGCAATCAATTATTTTAGAAATCAAAAATTCGGTTTACTTATTTCACCCTTAACTGCATCTTATCTTATTCATTTATTTGCCATTTGCAGTAAAACCACATAGGAAAAACTGTGCAAGACTACCCCAGTGTGCACCAACACACACCAGAGCTCTTGCCACGGCGCCATCTTTACGGCGCCATGCATATTAACTATATATATTTTACTCTTTTTTTTTTTAAATCAAACAAATATTCATTATTTCAATGTTGATTTCCTTCAGAGTCCTCAGTCTTCAGAGCAGTTTTGACAGTTTAAATGTTTGTGTAAAGCAAGTGCTGGAATGAGTTTTGTGCTCTTGATGCGCAATAGTTTCATATATTTTTAAGTTTGTAAAAAGAAAAAAGTCCTATTAATTGAGTCCTATTAATCAAATTCATTGTAATCAAATTCTTTTTGGTAATGTAATGTAATCTATTAATACTTGATTAATTCAATGTCAGCACTAATACTGTAATTCTATCAATGCAACATAGACAGGGACGGGCTGAACATCTTTAGCCACATATTCATTCACTGGACAAATGGAGATACATTATTTCAGTAGGTTTCAAGAAACCCAAACCTGCCACCTGCTCACAAGAACACATTGTATCTGCTTGTTACAGAAGTTGTAAAACCAAACACAGAAAAAGATCAACAGACTTATCTTCTGGCTATGAACCGAGCTGCTCATTCCACATTTATTACTTTGTCCTTCCTGATCCGTGAAACCGGGTCAGATCTACAGGCGTGTCACTGCGGTCGCCCATTCCCCTTGGATTCTTAGGCCTATAGCAATGTACTTCATATATACTGTACAATCGATGGGGCACGATTCTACTCTACTTGATCATCAGCTGTAATTCTTGGTATCAGTGTGAAACCAATTAGATGAATATTGGCCTGCTGAGAACGTCTTAAACGCACACTCTTCTAGAGACAATCACAGTGCTTTGTTAATTCCCATCAAAGTGGTATATGTTCCAATTACAGCTGCTGCCTTCTCTGTAACCTCTTAATGCTGGGAGCTCACCATTGTTTCCCATGGCTAACAGACTGAATCTCCAACGATTTAGCTTGTATCCGGGCAAAGAAAGTGATAGGCGATCTTTGTGCATATTTCGTCGGCGATGATGGCTGCAGTGTATGTGGAGATGTAACGATCAGCGAGAAACAACTTTTTGAGGTGTATATGTAGCGCAGTGGCTAATGCGAGTATCGGTCTAAGTCAAAGGGCTGTGGTCCGTGGCCCGAGGAGGATGGATATGCCATTAGTGCGGGTGACACACACTCAAATCCTCATCGACTCACTATGGGAAATCGATACAGCTACAGAGCGAGCCAGCTGGAGCCCAACGCGCCACATAAACAACAGCAGCAGCAGCATTCTGAACAGCTCTGAAAAACATCCTGCAATATCAGAGGCCCGGAACATTGTTGGTATAAAGATACATGGCGACTATCTCGGCAAGAAGGTCCTGGGTTCAAATCCCGGCCGGAACAGGGTCTTTCTGAGTGGGGTTTACATGTTCTCCATGTGTCTGGAGCGCGGGAGACAAAATTTAGGGGCTGTAAATCTAAATTTCAAAATTTGAGTATCTCGGCGGAACTACTGTTATTAGATAAAGAAGTATTCAAAAAGAGCGTGGTTTATTAATGCCTTTTGACAGATTAGGGCCATTTAATGTTGACTTGACATGAAAATCTTACATATTGCAACTTTAATTAGAGTACTTGCCGATACCAAACACCGATACGAGTACTGCATTGTGTTAAAACTAATACAAGTGAAATTTAAAATATTTTATTTCACATTTCAACAATGAGAAAATGCTTTAACAATTAAACATTTGAGTGATTGTTTTAACAGTCGACTATAAGAGTCACCGTCATATTCCACCCATACAAATTCTATGTTGTAGAGTTGGTTGTTTTTGTGCTCCGGTGCTAGCAATGGTGCTATACTTCGCTGCTAAACTAGTTTTCAGATGTGTGATCAAGTTGCTGGTGTTAAAGGGTACACTTTACTACTGCCACTCGTTTACTTAAAAAAAACTGCTATACGACTGACATCAGCATACGCATTTTCACTGCAGACTTTAGATCACCATGGCGACACGTGGCGCACAGCTGTCTGCTGTTGTGACGCTAATAAAAATGTAGGTATCGGTTTCCCGGATCAAGTCCCGTACGAGTACGAGTACAAGCCTATGGTATCGACCTGATACCGATAACAGTATTGGTATTATTATTATGCTCTTATAACATGTTAAAGCAATATTAGTTTTATACAAAATAAATATTTAATAATGAGCCACGGAGGTCATAGATGATAATATAGAGAGCACATAATTGTGTTACGTTCCAAAAAAGAACTAGTAGTAGCTCAGTCAAACTTGACATGTGCCAGAAAATACAAGATAATCCAAGTTATTGAACTAGAGACATCCACATGACTGAGTAAACAGCTTTTGATGAGCTGCACAAAAGGAACATAAGGGTGCTTATCCAAATGTCAAGAGGGCCACACTATTGAGGAAGACCCTGTTGAATCATGCATTAACCAACAATCCTTCTCTTGGTTTTCTCCCATTCATTTCCACCAACACCGATAAGAGACAGATTTGCATGTCAATATCATTCTCATTAATGACAAGTGGAATCTCGACTTTAACATGAGCCCACCATCAGTTGTAACTATGGAAATGGCCGATACCTTTGAAACAAAGACGTTTACATACTGTATCCACCCATGTATATCTATCTTGATTTACTCAAAAAATGGGTTTTAAATTATTGTCAGAATCATGAATTTAGATAGCAATTGTGTAGAATGATTAGTGATTCAAAAATGTAATGTTTAAGTTAAGTATACATTACAATGCAGTAAACTTACCGACTGTGCAGTTTTGATGGCCACAAAGCGGTGGTGTCCCTCCTTCCCACAGACGTATCCAAATGCTCGGTGGTCTGTGATGTCCTTAGCAATATAGGAAATCTCATGGACGGCATGGTGGTGCTGAAGTATCTAAAAAAACAAACGGAATTGGACATTACAATTGACGTAGAATAGTGTTGCTCTGATTACACTTATCTTGATTGTAAAAAGAAAATCATTATATCCAAAGTGTGAAAGTGGTCTAGGAAATTACTTTGGTTCCAGTCAAATTTGATTGGTGTTTTCCACAACTATAACTGCAGCTTGATTGAACTTTGTGATTGTTCAGTAGCTATAATTTTGGACTAGCTCCAAATCAAAATCAAAACCTTTTTTTCTTGAGAAAAAGTGACCTATGTGTTGTCAACAAATAGGATCACAGGGCCACCTTCGCCCTCCAGTGTCCATGCTGAGACCTTGTATCCTTTATGAAACAGTTTGGAGCTCTATGCCCACTCCAGTTTAGGCTGGGTGGTCTGTGCCAAGCTGGCATGGCCCATGGCAGATGGCACTGTTTTTCCCAAGGACAGAGGGGGGGATCAGTGACAATCACAACTCGGCAAGCTGTCCACTTGATCACTTCATCTGTGCCCTCGCCTGCCTCGCGCCGCCACAGCAGAAACACTATACACACACTTAATAAGCACTGGCGCTGGGGATAAGTCGCACCAAATGTCTGCTTTGTTGCTATTGTCTGTGCCAGATGCATGCTGGGAGTGATGACACCCGAGGCAGTGAAGTGACCTTTGAGCCCTTGAGAACTAAGTGCCTTTAGTCAATGAGACAGCTGCAACATTTTGTTAGTAATACTTAACATGTTTTATCCATCACTAATACTTTTTTCAGTGATTTGTTCAGTTAACATTAGGTACCCCAATTTAATCATATTTGGGAACATTTCTGGCAGATTAAAAATACCTTTAGGAAACACAAAGTAGAGTAGAAATGAAATGTATAAAACTAAAGAAGGCCAGCGATTCCCTTTAGCTCCTGTTTTGGAACCATCTGTTGAATTTCTTAAGGCCCAATTTGAAGACAAAAAGTAAAACCAAATTTGTCAAAGTTTCTTGGTGGTTTAGGCTTACATAAAATAAATAAATAAAGTATTAATAAAACATAAGTTACAAAAAAAATCAAACACTCATCACTATAATCTTTGCATGTTTTTCATTAAATGAACCATACGTGTGTGAAATCAACATGAGCCACACATTCACACAGCTCTATATTTACGTCGCTAATCATTATATGACTCATGTCAAGTGAATTGAGAATAATTGATCTAATCATTATCATTATCACCTCTGATTGACCTGAAAATGGCAGCTAAGGGCCTGTAGGCAGCATGTAAACACACATTCAGCTCATTTGCAGTGATTATTGAATTATGGAGGTGACAGACTGAGGAGCAGAGAGCACGGGATGAGGGGACGGGGAAAATCATTGCAGTTACACCATGAAACACAACTTTTATTGTATCTTATTCAATTTTGTTTTGTTCTCATAAAAATCTTTAGTGAGAATAAAAAGGCCTAATAGTTGAAAACCCTAATGTTTAGTTTACTATTTCTATAACAATGTAAAAAGGCCAAACAGCACATGAACAGACACCAGTGAAGCTGTTCTTATTGAGCTGCCCAAATCTGCAGGTGACCCACGGATCACGGTACCATACTTTGTAGATTGGTGAGCCCCACACATCAACATATTTAGTTTTACAAAAAACAGTCTATGATAAATTATACTGTTATGATCTACTTTACGTAAGTAAGTAATCTTTATTTATATACCGCCTTTCACAGACCAGAGTCACAAAGCGGTTTACAATTGTTATGTTATCCTCTCACTCCACACAGAGATGGGAGCGGGGATATTTAGCTGAATATTTGATTTCTGAGTTGGGACTCTGTATAAGCACAACTCATACAGAGCGACTCCAAATGCTCCTCAGAGGCCAAGTTGGTTCATATGGCACTATGTCATGGATGTACTTTGGTGCAAGGCCATGGAGAGCTTCTTCAAAGTCTATTATCTGAGCCACAGGAAGCCTGTGCAGAGACCTGGGCACAGGACTAATATGATCGTATTTTCAGTTCATCAATGTGTGTATGAATAGTATCTAAATTAAAGGTATATTATGAAGGATTTTAGAATATTTCAGATTTCTATCAACAACACTTCTGTACAGTGAAAATGGTAGTAGGGGCACATATTTCCATGACAACATGTGAATGACGCATCAGGCTGTATGAAGGCCGGTGTTCACAAACTCCTCTCCACTTTGAGGGTTTTTTTCTCTACCAATGCAGGTTTTTGTGGCAAACTGTAAACAAACTGTAAAGAACTTCAGTCTTGGCGGTGGCTTTTGGCAACTCAAAAGATGTGTACTAATGAAAATCAGATTAACTCTATCCATCCATTTTCTTCCCCTAAATCCATTTCCGGGTCGGGGGTAGCATTCAAAGTTGCATCCAGTACACAGAGCACCAGCCCCAATCAGATAAACTTCACAACATAAATTAGTTGGTTGACTGTCAACAATCTGTAGGCCTACACGAACATGTACAGTTTATCAGTTTGACATTTTTACCTCAGTAAAGCTGCCAGTAAATTTCCTTCCCTGTGTATATGCCAGAATGGCCCATCGCTCTGTTGGTGCTATATCCAGTAAAACCAACCTCATCACCATCTCGGTTTTAACAGCACTGGTTTCCATGGAGACGCTGCCCTGCTGAACTGTTTGGCTTTCTCATCACTGCCCGCGGCTATGCAAAATAAAATTAATTTGTCATAATATTATTAGAAAATAGAATAATTTAATGTGAGGCAGATTCTGTTGGCAGACTCGATGAGTACGAGGTTGTGAATGTTTATGCAGGAGGTACGAGGCAGACAGGTGTAGGCTGCACCGTTCCCACGCAGGTCCCTGCGGGCATCAGCTGACGCGCTCCAGAGGTCACATGACTGTAGAGGATTATTTTCTGAATCGACAACTTCCTATTACATTTGAATGGGAGCATCTCAAACCATCTTTTTGTCAGTAGCAGGAAGTAAAACCCAGAAGTTCTATATGACATCACAACTAGGAAGATTCAAACATCATCTACAAATACGAATACTTACAGGATTCATTTTTATCTGCCAAATAATCAAGTTGGTGCTGTGTTCCAAGTCTTCCTTGTGATGTCATAATAGAACGATAGACAATTGTTTGAACTGGTTCATGATTTAATGACAAGGACTTTGAAATCTTTTAATCAAATGACAATAACTTTTCAACTAAAACTTGATGGAGTCAAAGTGATAGCCCTGCTCTGCCTATAGCCTCAAATAAATTGAATTGAAAATAGACCACAGGATTTAAAGAACATGAAAAATGTGGTGAATTATAGTTCAGCATGTACTGCAAACACCAGGATACACAAATCCCAAACCCTAAACCTTTTCCATGTTGTGAACAGCCAAAGCAAATTGGAGCAAAACTTAACCTATGAGCACTTCCTTATTAGGATTAGGAACCAGTGGGTTTGCATTGTGCATCTATATACACTCGTTGTTTGGTAAATAAATAATAATGAGTCAAGTATGTCATAAATGGTCGCTCTATTGCTGGCCGAATGTTTTCTTTGAATTGCTGGCTTAGACTTGAATTGGTCAAACTACCTAATTGAACCAGCAGGGGTCAGGAGGTCCTGTTCCCAGACTCTCTATAGACCGCTCCAAACACTTGAGGTCAGGGCCAGTGATGTGTGATAGAGACTGAGGCCTGGAGGTTAGATTAATGTCTCCTCTCCGACCATCCACGACCTTCCCTCCTCCACCTTCTGCACCCGTACATCCTGTCCTGACTGATGCGCAGAGAGCAGGGGAATGAGTCTGTTGAGAGTCCGGAGCCTCCGCACACGCTCTGTCCTCCCTCCCTCCCTGACCATTATAGGTAGGAGTTAGGCTGAAGTACCGCCGGTAAGGACAGCATATCTTTATAGTTAATATTAATGTGGGTAGACAGAGGACAAGGTCTCCCGGTAGAGAGCTTTACTTTGACATAATGCTGCCTGATTCCCCAACTATAATTCTCATACAGTCTCCGTCTGTCTCCCCCTCCATCACTCGGCTCACATCATCGTTTCAGCACACTCTTCTCTTTTCTCTAACATATGTCAAGCACAAATGCAGTGTTGGGACATTTTTCTTTTTGTCGGTTTTAATTATCCGCTTTTTTAAACACAATTAACTAGTATATAAGAATGTAACATTAAGTGACGCATTGAGATAACAAGTTGAGAAAAAAATACCTCTACCAAGATAGAATCAATGGTGAGCAACACAGGCTGGTGGGTTGAAGCTACTTTAACCTGCCTCGCAAAGTAGTCTTTTTTGCCAAACCGCGTTCAGTGGGAACACTAGGAGCACGTATAGAGGTTTTTCCCGACAGCATTACTAGAGTGACAATACTTTCCATAATGGTAGGGTAAGTAACAAGGCGACGCTCTTACCATCAACGTTTGGGCTTTTGCACGTGTGTTTTATATTGTGAATGAGAAGCTGTATGCAAACCATTATAATGTGATTCCCCCTGGTCTTGGGTGCATTGTGTTGTGACTTGAGAAGACAAATATTGAAAGTTTGTTTTGACCCTTTTATTTTGACACATTCCTGTCTTCCCTGTGGAGAAAATCTAAAATGGTTCAAAACAACACGCCCCCATTTCCCACTGCTGTCCCGGGTCGACACGGCCAAGACAAAAAACTGGAGTCTGCTGTGTAAATAAAGATAGCGTTGTGCAAAATCGTGTGTAAAACCCCTTACTTTGATTTTAACAGGTTATAGCTCAGGGGAAGGTGTCCAGTGGAGTGAAATGATTGCATCTGAAATCCCCTCCACAAGGACTTCTTTTAAAAAATAATGATGTATTTACAGACAGGAGCCAAAAATAATCTCAGTTGTAAAAAAAAATCTTGGTCACCTTGCTTTGTTACAAATACAGTAAAGTCAAACTCACCAATGACATCACTTATATTGAATCTTAACCACAGTTATGAGTGTCCTTGGTGTTTTGTTTACCTTTGTAGCATCAAACTTGACTTAAATTACATTCAATTACGTCCTTTTTAAGGTGAACAAAAAATAACAAACTTCTCCCTCTTGTTTTAGAATAGGGAGTTACAGGGAGGAAGCATTCTTTACCCTTCATACTATTTTGTACTGAAGATATTATCTCACATTCAAAATATATGCGTAATATTTTCTTATTTAAAGCTTGGTCTGCAGAGTTTGCCTTTATGAAGTCTGTAGCACGGAGCCACGACAGAGGCCTAAATCTCTGGCTTTACCTGTCAGACAGTAAAGCCAGTGTGCAGACAGAGACTTCATGGTGTCGGTAGGAGATTGGACACTGATATACAGTAGATGCTAATGCTGAGATTCATGGCATAGTAAACATGATAGATTTGGGATATTTGCTTGGTTCATTAACTTAAAATGTCACCTGAAGGAAACAGAGTCAAGCCTTTCCAATGCTGTATCTTGGGATAGCATTATATTTTAGGCTGAAGGATAATGGGACACACATGGCCATATGCCTCCTTACTGGGAGAGCTGTCAGTGCATCCTTGAAGAGCGGGTTTCAATGGAAATCATTACACTTCAATGGTCAAGGCAGAAACACACTGACCACAGACAGAAACTGGTCCTCAGCAACCAGCCAATACATCGACTTTTTGATATGCTAAGTGGTGCTGCAGTCCAATGCAAATGTTTATGGATAATCTAATCAATTACACACATTCAAGGCTGTATTGTTAGAGTATATCTTATTGCCAAGACCACAAACTACATTGTAGCACATTCTGGTAAATAATTTTCATTTATGTGTAATAGGATCGCATCAAACATTTGGACGAGTTAAATATCCACAAAGACTTGTGTAACCAAATCAGTGCAATATTCCTTATGATGTTGGAGAGCACAGTACAGTTTCAGATTATCAAAGTAACACAAGCTTTGTGTTGTTGTGAAGCTTCAATTCCACCTCCAGGTGTGGCCTTTCTGTGTGGAGTTGCATGTTCTCCCTGTGTCTGCGTAGGTTTCCTCCGGGTGTTCCGGTTTCTCCTACTACTGAAATAGTCCCTGTAACACCCTCCCTGAGCACTCACTGATTCTGAAATCTCAGTGAGATTATCTTGGTTAAATGAAGATCAATATCTTTATGATGTGGTAAAAAAGCCGCATCAATAGGCCTCTTTTTAGCACCACAGTAAACGCTGTTAAACTTTTAAACCACAAATGAATTATATTTGTAATAAAATCCATAACATTAGTCCCTCGCTCTCAAAAAGGTTCCATCAATAGTTTTCTCACTCTTTAAAAAAAAATGGTATCTGCTTTTTCAAACAGCAAAATAAACTGTGTTTGTCTTGCAGTTTATTTTGTAGACAGGTGCGTTCACATGTTGTATGTGTTATTATTTAAAGATATTGTTCATCACGTCTTCTATTTCTTAGTTAATAGTTGTAACACACATTGCTGCTGCCTACAGTCAGACCTCACATCCTCTAATTATGTGGGGCACGGTGGCACAGCGGTTAGAGTTTGTGTGTCCTGGGTTCGATTCCACCTTTCTGGATGTTTTCTCGGCCTCTCGCTTCATTCATTACCGTGTGTAGAGAAAATAGAAAATTATCTGAAATTTAAACATTGTAAAGCGCTTTGGGTGACCTTGGTCTGTAAAATGTGCTATATAAATAAACGTTACTTATTATGAGGAACAAGTGCAGTGGTCCCTCCTTAAGCCTGGTTCACACGGCTTACCACACACTGTACGACCAAAGTGGTTAGACCCGTGATTTTTTATCTCCCTGTGTGGGGTCTCACACAGAGAAAAATCGGCCGACAATTTTAAAATCGTCTCGTGTGAACCAGGCTTTAGAAAGGCCAGCTCTATTCATATGTGAATGCAAAATATCCAGGGGCAGCTCCTCTCACTACAACATGAACGCCTATAGCTGCTCCCAGGGCTCTTTACAAGGATACTAAAGATACTGTTTCCAATAATGTAATGAGTGAAGGTATGATTCAACCTACATCTGACAGACAGTTTTCAGCTTGACTGAGAAAAGCTTCACTGACACCGCTCGTCCAGACAGCTGAAGGACGGACAACTGGACAGCCCGAGAGCGGCCGTGCATGTTTAAAGAGTGTGATCCTCAGTATAAAACCGGGCGAAAGTTGTTTGTGTTGAGACCCACACAATAAGAGGTGTATGTTCTCTCATCTGCACCGGCCTTGTACTCAGGGTTTCAATTAGACCCCCTAATTTCCCCCGAGGCCCTCTTCCTCTCAGAAAAGCCTCATTAACACATAAGAAAACACACACACTTCAGTATAGAGCGAACATAAATAAACTACACACTACTCACCCCTGATTTCTCGTCGTAGATTTTGATCCCTCCGAAGGATACGGTCAAGAACACCTTCTGCTTGTGGTCTCCTTTGGACCTTGCTGCTGCCGCTATGCCCTGTAAGACACGCGCACACGTACATGATCACATTTATATGGAAAAATTCTATTCAAAATGTCTCAAATATGTGTCAAAACATTCCCTCCATTCACACTATTGTCCTATGCAGAGATACTATGCCCAAGAGCAAGGCTGCACACACTGAGGCGACTGCGGAGAGTGAAGGTAAACATTTATAGATTGGCCTTCTGACCTTACGCACACACAGCGGTCAGAGCAGAGCAAGGCATTATGGGAAAAATTATACAAGACACACAAGCTTTCTGAGAACATGTGGTCCGCTGTGGTTATCAGTGTATTGGCTCAGATAACTGTGAGTCTATGCGGAGGAAAAGGTGAGGTCGTGAGTGGAAATCCAACAGACACTGATGCAATAGAAAGGCACATATCCTCTCTCCCTTTCATTGGTAGAATATGGAATGGATTGGTTTGACGATTTAATCAAGAAATCTGGTTATTCTTTTGGGAAACAGGTGAGATCAATGTAGGTTATACAAAATAAACAAGGGAAATGAGCTAGCTAAACGTGCTATCACATAGCACGACTAAGAAAAACATGAAGCTGATGGGCGGCACGGTGGCTGAGTGGATAGCACTCTCGCCTCTCAGCATCTAGGTCCTGGGTTCGAATCCCAGGTCGGAACAGGGCCTTTCTGAGTGGAGTTTGCATGTTCTCTCCGTGTCTGCGTAGGTTTCCTCCGGGTGCTCCGGTTTCCCCTACCACTAAAAACATGCACAATAGGTATGAATGTAAATGAGAGAGTGAATGGATGGTGTTGATTGGGGGCTGATGCTCCAGTGTGTTCGGCGACTCGCTTCCGTCATCACCGTGTGTGGAATGATTGGAACAATATCTGAACAACATCGTAAAGCACTTTGGGCGACCTTGGTCTGAAAAATGCTTTTTATAAATAAAAATTACTTACTTACTATGTTTATAACTTTGGTATTGGTAAAGCTCAACTGTGTAACATACATACATACAGTACATACTTTAATTTAGGCATGCTATGGTTGTTTTTTGTTGCTTCACACATCTGATGTATGAGTAAATTTGATGTTTTCATAGAATCATCCAGGTCACGTGCCACCTCTGGAAATGTACACGGTTCAGCAGTTATTTCACTGAACTAAACTAAAAAAGGCATTTTAAAAGTTGCACTATGTACATTTGGAGTCTTCCTTTCCTGTGATCCTTGAAGTTATAAGAATTGTTTTTTTTTCCTCCAAGGAAAAATATTTAATTAAGAAATGCATTAATTTTATGTTGTCATGTTTTATATGTGTCCACATTTCACCTTTTCTGGACAATAGTTTAAAGTAGACTCCAGAATGGTCATGATGTCCACAATATTCATATTTACAATTCGCAAGTAGAGTATCCAATCAGAGAGCAGAATGAGGCCCATGTGCGGCCAGTTAAACCCTAACCATCCATCTTATTATAAGATAAGATAAGATCAACTTTACTGATCTCACAATGGAGAAATATACATTATACACATTTCCCAAAATAGCACCACAAATGTGCTTAAACAATAAAGTGGTTATGCATAATACAGACTTTGTACTGTTTAGGGTTAGGGTTAGATGTTCTGCTTTGGAGCTAGATAAGATAAGACAAGATAAACTTTATTGATCTCACAATGGAGAAATTTACAAGTTAGATGTGTCATAGGCAGGAGGATTCTGGAAACAAAAGTTGGATCATAACTGTAATGACTTTATAAGACTTTATAATTTATTTTATTGTTAATTTGGTTGGGACATTACATATACGGTCCCTTTAAAAGATGAAACTACTTCCCATTCTTTTGTATAGCGGTACTTTGACAAATCTTTTCACAAGACAATGACCTCATACACTGAGAGAAATAAGGCAGAAGTCAAAGCCAACACTTGCTGTCAGGACAATGAAAAATGAAGAAAAGGGCATCGCGACGAATCCTCTTTTACCTCGATATATAAGTTCTCTGCTAAAACGTCTCTCAAATAAGTGAAAGTACAATGAGTTAGGACAACTTCCCAGATGCAATAATTGAGTGGATGATTTATGGCACGACAAGAACATCTAAGTATTGAGGCGTCTCTATACTTTGCCCGTAGCTGTATTTGCATAGGTGAGCCACAGCAGCGAATGAAAAGAGCTTGGATGACTGGATGCTGCAGGGCGGGGCCGTGGAGGAATAAGGTGGAGAGATCAGAGAAAAGGACTTGATGGATTTGCTGTCTGAATAAATGAGGAGCAGGAAGGCTGTTTGATCAATGAGCTGTCCGTCCCGTGCCTCACCTCATGTGCCGCGCCTGGATGGAGTCTTCAGTGGACATAAACAACATCCACAAGGCTATTTTCACACTGCAAAGCACCCGAGCCAACGAACAAAATGTACCAGTCCGTGCATAATTCCTCTCTTATTTTACAGTTGAGTCTATTTGAATGTCTCTTAAATAGAAACTCTAAATGTCAAATCTCCTATCCTTGACTTGATTCCAGAGAAAGACTCCATTCATGTTCTTTTAAAGGAATAGTTCACCGTTTGTACATACTGACATATGTTCTTACCTTACCTTAGACTAGTTAATACGTACCTGTCTGGTCCTAGTCCGTGCGCTCTGTCATGCAAACGGAGCAAAAACGGGAGCACAAATGCAGCCTCCTCTGGTCACTGTATAGTACCCAAAAGGTAGCTCCCGCTAGAAGCTACCAAACTCTTCCAAGTGTTCCCTATTAAATGTATATAGTTACGTGACGTGTTACACTGCAAAGTATAGTAACACAGAAATGTAACAGTCGATTTTCTCAGCGGATAAAACGGGTACTATATTGTGAGGCGTAGTAATCTGAGGTGCGCTACGTCCGCGCACTAACTTCTCTCCGGAGACTTCTCTCTCGCTCACTTCCGTCAATAGAAGCAGCGTGACTTGTAATACACACAGTAGCAGCGAGAGAGAAGTCTCTGGAGAGAAGTTAGTGCGCGGACGTAGCGCTCCTAACTTCTCTGCGCACTAACTTCTCTTCCAGAGACTTCTCTCTCGCTGCTACTGCCTAACCCTAATCAATTATGCAAACATTATACAAACAATAGAGTGGATAGTAGTTCGTTGAAGGAAGTCTTTCAAGCGTGGGCCGACAAAGTACATAGACTCTCTCCATGAAATATAATCTTTGTTCAGAGTTTTTGTTGTCTGTCTGTGTCTTCCTTAAGAGGACAGTCTTCTTGTCCAACAGGAATAAGCAGGATACGTTTTACTAATAATGAAATCTCTGAGGCCTAACATTTGCAGTAAACAACTCAGCATTTTCCAGTGGTCAGAAGGTTTAGCTCTTCCTGCATTTTTGGCCTACATTTTTGGATAAGTGTTGACATCGTAAAGACTGGTGCTATTAATGACGCTATAGAAGAAGACTGTTGGTGTAGACCTCAAAAAAATGATGCTCTCCGTCTCCCTCGTCTCATTAATTTAAACCCAGTCCACATCGATTAATGTTAGAAAAGCTCCACATATCTGTGTTTTGTTACAGATCATCTCCTCCTCTAATATTTTGTTTTCATACCATGCCAAATTATATTTCTTTATTATTATTATTACGTTCAAGATAGAGATGGTGACAAGAGAGGGGCGACAGAAGCTCAGTTGGTAGAGCATTGGCCTTTGAGCCTGAAGGTTGTGGGTTCGAGCCCACCATGAGACCTTCTCCACTGACTCCCACTGATGACTGCTGTCGTTGTGTCCTTGTGCAAGACACTTAACCCCACTTTGCCTGAAGCCCATGCTGAAAGATCAAGGCTATGCCATAGAGCGGCCATCCTCCTGTGGACTCACCACCTGCTGGAGGATCAGTGAGGGGCTGGTGCTTTGTGAGCTGGGTGGCATCTCTGGCCACGAATAAGGATCTCTTAATCTTACTATATTTATCAAAACACGAACATATTTCTCAAAGATAAACCTCCAGCTTTGGTTAAGGCCATATCAACAACAGCCTCTACACTGCCCTGCACTATCTATTGTTGTTGCACCATATTGCTTTTCTCCATAATCTCTTCAATATGCAAAAACAAGTTATTACTTATTTACAAGGCAAACACAATTCTACAAGAATTTCTATTTAATCAAAAGGTTTTTGTTTTTTAAAGGAAAGATTTTGAATATAATTAGTTGACTAGTAGACCAAAAAACAATGTCTACTTGTGTCTCCCATTACCCAGAAATAGAGCCTAAATTACCTTATGACAAGGCTTATAATATAATCACTGCTCTCCCGATAAATGTGAACAATTAAATCTTTCTTTCACTAGTATTTTGACCAGATAGGAACTCTCTCTATGAACATGAAAAGGCATCATTACTGTATATAGGATACACACAACATACATATTGAATTAGCGTTAGAATATGCATGAACTTGTGCTAGTTACGGCCAATGATATTCAACTTTGATTACAGTATGTGATTTTATTTAGTCCAGTAAACAAAAACATAAACAACTAAGAATGAGTGGAAACGAAAAATATTGTGTAACTGCCTTGCACAAGATAGAAATGTATAATAATTCTCATTCAGTCTTACATACAGTAGATGCCGTGACATGCATTTCTTTGTATTGAGCCAAGTGTAGATTTAAATAATGAAATAAACAGCTGCGCTCCACTAGTGACGTTTGTGGCTTATTGCCGATTTAAAATATGCATGTATAGTTTCATAGTTTCATGTTTTATAGACGGTACACACTAGTTCAGACAGACAGTACATTCACAAGGAAGTCGCAAAGTGTGTGTTTGCAAAGCACTAGTGAAAAACAAGTTCTTCACCTACTCCAATTTAATCCGAGCGATAAAGATGCATGTACACCTGTGCACGGCAAATTGAGGTGTTACAAGCCAGAGAGTTTGAATCAGGCATTGATGCATTTAAGAGAACAGGGAAAAGACAAACTTGAACTAGAAATGTTTGTCTTTGGACGTTGTTCTGGACCAATTCATAGTTCCTCTCTGCACACGTTTTGTTTTACGCAAAGCACAAACGAAACTTAACAGGAATCATGGTGCTTTCAAGAGCGGAAATGCAATGATTTCCATTGTAGCAGATGAGCATGTGCAAAAATCAAACGCCCAAAGTAAACGTAAATGTGTGAGAGTTTTTGCCGATAATATATGTATGATAGCACAGTGTTCCCCAACCTTTTTGAGCCGTGGAACACCTTTTTCATTCAAAGCAATCCCACACACCAGATGAAGCTGATACAAACATGTAACTCTGCAGCCTTTATTGAAAAAACAAAGTCATTCTCATTAAAGTGTATTACATAGAAAATCAAACAGGTGCCAGAAATATATCTTTTTTATTCCACATTATTTTGACCAAGTAGGTGATAGATAATTTCCCAAGGCACACCCAATAACATCCCAAGGCACACTAACATGCCACGGCACACAGGTTGAAAAACACTGTGATAGCAATTGTATTTATAATCACAGTTACAAAGTTTGAGTAATAAAGGAAAGGAAACAGTTAAAAGCTGCAGGTCTGGAGCTTAGAGTGGCTTTTCAGAATCAGAATCATTTTTATTGCCATGTAAGTAACAGGAAGTCAAAGACTAGGAAATTGGATTTTGGATTTTGGTGCAAACAAGTCAAAAGTAGAGAAGTAGAGAACAGAATAAGGCATAGTAAAAAAAACATAAATTTCTAAATTATAAAAATGAAACACACAGAGACAGGACCAAAGCTCATCAGATAGGCTTGATGTCGAGTATTTGAACCTACTCCCTTGTCATAGGTGAATTCAATAGTTTACAGTTCTTTGTGTTCATCTAAATGTGTATAATCGTATATATCTAGCCGAATGTCATCTCCTCAAACATGGCGTAGTATTTCATTGACAATGTGGTTGATGGTGGAATGCAGTGCTTTGTCTTACCTTGAGCTTCATCATGGAGTCCTGGCAGAGCTTGTCTCCTCGGGCTGCGGTGACCTCGTCCAGGCCGATGAGCTTGGCCTTGTAGCGGACGCCATCGCCCTTAAAACGCCTGATGAGAGTCGCCTCGCTGCGATCCTGCCCTGAGGACACACACACACACACAGAACGGTCAGTGCCAAGAACACACTACATCTTCCATCGAGGACCTCCACCTCACTCCCCTATTACCTGGGGGTCATCAATCACAGCTCTCACAACCGTAATCTGAAGAAAAACATAGGTCAAAGCTGCTACTACTGGGTCTCACACCATCCAACTTTGTGTCCTGTTTCACCACAATGTTTTTTTTCTCCAAAGCAACCTCAAACCTCACTGTTATTTACTATACTTAATTCATTCACTACCGCAGGGCCTTTATCACCACCGCTGTCAGACTGTACAATGTGCAAGTGACTCAAAGTGACTACTTTGAGTCACTTGCACTAGGACTAAAAAACTTTCTTTAATTGCTATATATTTTTTGCCTTTTGCACAAATCTGAGTGATTCTATTCTATGCCAAATGTGACATGTAAATATCTCCTGTGCGAGATCAAAAAAGTCTATCTTATCTTATCACTACTGTTCATACAGTTCATACAGATGGTTTCAGGTCCGACTCGGAAGCTGCGGCTTTTCTTCATCCAATGGGAAGACGCTTTTATTGTCAAAAAAATATGACGGACATGTTTGAATTTGATACAGAAATAAGATCAAGCACACAAGAGTTAAACATAGAATTTAATTATCTTTACAATTAAATATTGATATAAAACTCTTGGAGCTATTAATTCCCTATAACTAAGCCTATGCTGAGCCATTTTAACTGTCCCTTCCAGGCCTGAAAATGTACAGAGAACATCCAGGCGCTCTGCGATGCTCTCTGTCTGTCTATCCCTGCTCAGACTGCTAACAAAATGTCCCACCAACACTTTTATCAAAATGTCCGATGGCGTCATAAGGTGAGACCAACAGAGGCCCTGGTCTGGGTCTGGTCTAGTCCTCTTTGTGTCTCAGGCCTTGTCTCAAGAGACATGCTGTTCCTGAAAATGATACTTATATCACAGAAACCTTGTCCTTGAATCTTCCCAGAATTCACTAAACACAGGCTAAACATTACACAAAGACGTTTTGTGCAAACACCTAATGATAAATCATTAGTATACAACATTTTAATTCTACAACACAACGTGTGCTGCATTTCTGGAATCTACCACACTAGCAAAATAAAAATTGCATTAAAACGTGGTTATTAGTGCGATACTATTTATTGCTATTGAACCGTCAGAGGGAAACAGAGAAACATGTTGATAAACTGGTAAACGGCATCCAGAATGCCAAACACAGGACTACACTCCAAACAAGGAAACCAAGGGGAAAAAAGCTTGTTTGTCTAACTGGTGATGTTATTTTGCCCATTATGTGTATGCAATGCAATCTTTAACTTTTACACTCAGTCTAAACATTTCTTGAAACACCTTTTTATTCAAATAACTTTCTTGTTTGTATTATATTCCAAAATAAAATATTCTCCTTTCAACACAGCTTAATCCATTCCCAATGGATTAAGCGCGTTCTGACTTATCACTGCCAAAACACAATCACAATCCTCAGCCTTTCAGAATATCATAATAACCTAATCTTAAACACAAACTTTTCTATTTGCAACTTTTCCTATGGATTTGATTACCATTCATCTTGCATCTTTAGCTATGCACCTGCACACACCTCTCTCCAACTCTCCTCCACACTTGTTGGGAGTCATCAATCACTCTCCACACAGCAATAATCTTAAGAAAAAGCATAGGTCAAAGTTGCTAATACAGGCTACATTTTTGTTATGCACCTCTACGGGACTAGAGACATGCCGCCATCGAGCTTTGGCGTCATATGAATGGCATGGTCAATGCACTTGGACAAGAGAATCAATGCAGTTTTGCAGGATTAGACTTGAAGCTGTGAAGTCCCTCTCCCTGGACATGTCTCCTCTAAAATAACACTGTGACATTTGGCTCTTATCTGCTCCGTCTTGCACAGTGCTCTTGCTCCATTGTGAGTGGAGATTGCAGTCTTTGTGGAGCAGGCATTAGTGGTTGTCAGAGATGGCGCAAGTATGTTGACCTTGCTCTCATCCAGGAAGTGTCTGTGTTATCTACTGCAGCCATTTACATTTAACATGGTGGAGATGAGCTGGAAAACCCTGTAAGGCGCAAGGGCCGCACCAAAATTGTGATTGGGATGCAATTTTTTTTTTAAGATTCTGTAAAAAGTCAAATTTTGTTGAGAGTGAAAATAATTACATTTGCCGAAAGCGCACATATGAAGTATCCAATTTGCAGAAAATGTTTATAGCGTTTTAACCATGTTTTTCTAGTAGAAATAAACCATCCACAGCAATACTGTACTTTTCATATTTTCTTTAAGTAGTGTAACATAACTTGACGGTTTATATGAACAAAATGAGATGTTTCAATCGTAGCAAAAAAATAATGCTGAAATTACACAGTTTGTTTGCAAAGAATGTAAATAATTGCAGTCTTTGTGATTATCTAATTGCTGGCACAAAGATTGCTGTTTGATTTTGTTGATTTCATTGTGCAGCCCAAAATCGCGCGTAACGCTAAGATGTCGCTAACAGAGGTCTCTTAGCAGAAGTTGAAAGCAATTACGTCCACATGCAAGTGAAGGCATGAACAGTATAGCTTTCGTCTATTCTGCTTTTCATTACGTGACCAAACCCAGAAACTGTAAAGGGCTCAGGAGCGTGTGCGTGTCTCCAAGAGTGATGGTGTAAGGGGCGGTGTAATGATTATGCAGCATATTCTGATAATATATTGAGGCATTAGTTTTGTACTCTACAGCAGCGTGACTCTTGGAAGGTCATACACACCGTGATGGAGAGGTCTCACTCCTCCTCCTTTTCTAACACATCCCTTTGTTCACAGCGCTGCAGTCATTACAACATGCTATCATGGTATTATAACTCATCACGACTAATTGGCAACTATCACTATCATCAGTGAATCATCAACTGGTGTTTATATGAATTTTAACGCTTTTTGTTTGCTGAGAGATGTCCCTTTAAACAGGAAGGTGCAAATGTCTTGTTTTTACGTCTGTTTGCGGAAAAAAAAGTCAATTAGAATACAGGAGACAAATATCATAGCTGCGTTCAAACCAACAAATAGTCTATTCATTGTAAATTACAGTACTAAATCCATGTTTTGAATGTTTTAGTTGACATAATTACGAGGCCTGTCCAGACGATCCCCGTTTGGCCAAGAAGCAGAATGCAGATACGTTTTACTGCAACAAAAGCCAATAATGAGACGTAGCTTATATAAAGGGCTCTACGGGGATCTGGAGCGATTTTTCCTCAAGACTACCTGACATTACTTGACACAAATCTGTGAAAAGGCTTTAAAATCACCATGACCTGAGTCTGTGAAGGGCAGAGTGGACCCAGAGCATCAGGTGTGTCTCTAAAGTGCATTAGTGGATCCTCAGACCTCGGCCAGTACTCAGAGGACTTAGTGTAGGAGCAGATCTTTGCGCACCTCAACAACAACAAATCCTCAGTCTGAAAGGGACGTTTCTGTAAAAGAGTTATCTTTACTTTTATTGCACTTTGTGACTGTACTGCTTATTTTGGTCATCATATTTCATTTTGTCCATCAACCAAGCTGCAGCTAGAGCTAAATCTCTCCCCAAAATTTCACATCCTACTTTACCACATATGTTGTGGGTTCACTTTACACATCACTCTAATCTCATACCTCATACCTCTGGTCATTTATGGATAATCTGCACTGTTAAATGTCTATTCTGTGTATTTATATATTTATTTTTATATGCATTTAAAAAAAAATGTTTTACTTGTTTGCAGCATGAGCCAAGGCAAAGCTAATTTGTGGCTTCCTCCTGTTACTTACTAATAAAAAATGTTACTTGCTTACAAAAAATAATTCTGATTCTGGAGGGATAGCGAATCATATGTAATGTTGAATGACACACATTACACAATCATAACAACAACAAAAAGCAGCCCAGTCAACTCTCACAAATTGATGGGCTCAAAAGTTCCTTGCTGCATCTTACTTTGTGTAAAAAGTATCTGTTTCTCGCCGTACAAACAAGCCGTGCAAAATGGAGACGAATAAACCAGCAGCTTAAAGCTGCACTAACTGACTTTGGGATTTTGAAGCAGAGGACTCACTGGCCTCGCTCTTTCTGCTCCCCTCCCCACGAAGCTATCTCCCCCCACACACACCCACTGTTGACGGAGCTAGAGTCTCCCAATATTGATAAATCCATGGCGTGACCATAGAACGATAGAACCGGGAAGCGCGGAGGAACGGGACTTTCTTTTGGATGGCTGTCTCGCTGTGTAAGCAGTAACCGGTGACGAAGACGAGGAAGTTTCAGGTTAGCTCCACCGCTTGTTGTGCTAACTCAGCTGTCTATGCTAACGGACCTGTAGATTTCTCAAGAAAGCGGGGGCCAGTTGTCCGCTGTGATTGGTCACAATCAGGTCCCGAAACACATTCTCTTCCTTGTTTCATCAAAACTCAATCTAAAATATAATGTCACGCCAGCACAACCCTGAGCTACTTTTTCTTCAAAAGGACGTATATCCCAATGCACTGCAAGGACATGGATAGCATTTTTGTAATGAATACAAAAATAAAGTCAGTTAGTGCAGCTTTAAGCACAATCCCACAAATCTGAAGTGTGCGTCTCAACATCTATGAAGACAAAACAGCAAACATCTGCCCTCATTTTAGTGGAAAACAGCAGCAGCCGTTGTGTCACGTCTCGCTGGGACTAGGATAAGACTCGATGATTACACCACCGGGGATGTGCACAACAGCATAATTAGAAGACTTTCCATAAACTCGAAAAAATGCCATGAAGGATAGACATATGAATTGCAGCCCTGTTATATAATTTGAACATTTTAGATAAATATTGTTATGAAACCAGACTGCACACTTTTCTAATGATTTGTGTTTTATGCAAAGTGCTGTAAGGCCCCAGTATCAGCAAGCAACAGATGGTCATTTAATTTGAACAACATGAAATACACTTTTTCATGAGCAGAG